AAAAAAAAAAAAAAAAAAAAAAAAATTTTAAAAAAAAAAAAAAAAAAAAAAAAAAAAAGAATAAAATACCTTATGTTTTTCTAAGTATGAGCAAGCCAGTGTAACATCTCTATTAAAAAAAAAATATATATATATATATATATATGTGATTATGTGATATAAATAAAAGAATATTTATTTAATATAAATGTCATATGAATTTTTGTTAATATATTTTAATATGATTTTTATTTATTTGTAAATTTTTTACGTTATAATTTTCATTATTCTTTGAACACTTAGACGGTTATTTCTGAAATTACTTTTTTGTGAATGAAAATATATTTGTGTTTTTAAATAGGAAAACAAAAATTTTTTTTTTTTTTTTTTTCTCTCATTTTTTAAATAAGAGAATAATTCTCTTTGATAAGGAGGAAAAGAATAAGGATCATTTAATTGTATTTTTTTTTTATTTTCCAGTTTACCTAATTTTTTATTATTTTTATTTATATCTTTTTGATTGACCTTTTTGAAATTATTATTATTTTCATATAATGAGTAATTTTTATCTATACTAGCATTAAATATTGTTATATCAGTATCACTAGAAGAAGAACTTTTTATTTCGTTATTATTTTTTAATTCATCAGCGTATATACCGCATAAAACGTTATTTTCATAATTAAATAAATTAAATTTATTTATTTTAAAATATTTATTATCTCTTTTATTTTTTTCAAAATCTGTATTATCACTTAAACTACTTTCTGATTCATTATTGAAATTTTCCGATTCTATTTGTATAAACTTAGAATTGTTCTTATCATTATTACAATTTTTGATACTTTTTTTATCATTTAGGACCTTATCATTTGAGAATCTTACATTGGGGTAAATAATTTTACTTTCATTTTCACTCTTATAATCAGTTATTTTTTTATCTAAATCCAGATTATAGTTCATTTTGTATTTTTTAAAAAATTTGCTTATATATATATGTTTATATTTTATACAATGCAAATATGAGAATAAACACAAATTTTTTAAATATTCATAGACAATAAAAACAAATGGGTAACTAATAGAAACTCCCATTATTAGTACAATATTAGAATGTCTTAATATATATAATTTATATAATATTTTGTGTAATTTATTAAAATTTTTTATTTTACCTACTAATACTTTTATAGCTACTTCTTTCCCCATATACTTCCCTTTAAATACTCTACTTTTAAGTTTTGTATATTTCACTTCATTTTCTTTATTTTTTTTACTATATTTATTTTCTTCATTATCTAACGTAAGTGCTTTAATTTTCTTCATAAATTGAAATTTTTCTTCAAAGTTAAAATCTATATTGTTATTATCATTATTATACATATCACCAAAATAATAGTTTTCAATTTGATGTAGAAATATTAAATCTTCATGTGGTATAATAAAACTATATAAATAGGAGAAAGTTAAATTATTATTCATATATATACTATTTGTATACTTTATTATTTTATTACGAGGATAAAAAATTCTATCATCACTTCTACTTGAACAGAATGAAGATGAAACTAAAGCTGATGAAGAAGAAGATGAAGATAAAGAAGATGAAGATGAAGAAGATGAAGAAGATGAAGAAGATGAAAAAGATGTGGATGAATCTGAGAAAGAAGCTATTTTCTTTACGTTTTTGTAATTTATATGATTTAAATTATTTATAGAACTTAAATCACTTTTTAAATTTGAACTTTCTGATGAATTTAAGGAACTTAAGGAATTTAGGGAAGTTTTTTTTTTACTTATATGTGTAGAAATAGAAGAGTTAGAAGATGATATTGTAGATGATGTGAAGGATGATAATGTTGATGAAGTAGAGAATGAAGAACTTTTATTTGAAAAATTAGAGGAATTATTTTTTGAAGATAATTCTTCTTGAAAGTAGAAAATAAAATTTTCATTTTCTATTTCATCTTCCTTTTTCTCATTTTTATTTTCTTTTTCGTTTATCTGTTCTCCTTTCTTTTTTCTTATTTTTTTTTTCTTTTTTTTTTTTTTTTTTTTGGTGTGTATGTTTGCTTCTTTTATATAATTTATGGTGGTGTTATCTAAATTTATTTCTGGTGCGCAATTTTCTATTTTATTAGATTTGCTCATAGAATCAGAAGATACATATGTAAATGAATTTATGCCATCTAAAAATAAAGCATCTTTACTATTTATATGTTTATTTTCCATTTCAATTTCTTTATTTAAATTTTCTAAAAGAGAATTAGAATTTTTACTTGCATTATTTATCTCTGGTTTATCATTTTCTTTATGAAAAATGTTATCAACAATAAAATTATTCATTTGTTTATTTATTTTATTTTTTAATTTATTTTTTATTTTATTTTTATTTTTTTTTTTTTTAATATGATTTTCGTATTCTTCTAAATTGAGACATGTTAATAATCTTTTATTGTATGCTGCTATTCTTAAATTTTTTATTAACTGTAACAATTTTATTGCATGTCCATATGAAAAAATACCTAAATTGTTTCTAATAGTATTTAAATTTAAATTATTTAATTTAAAACCTGTAATGTTATTTTTATAAATTGCCATTATCCATTTAATAGGTACATTACATAATACAAGCCATTGAACTACTTCTTTTGTTGACCATAGTTCATAATTTTCAATATGTAGATTATCATTATTATTTATGAAACTTTTTAATGTATGTTTTTTTTTTTTTTTTTTTTTTTTTTCTAGATTATTAGAAATGTATAAATTTTTTTTTTTTTTTTTTTTTAAGATATCAATGAAACTTGAACCAGACACTAAAGAATTATAAGAATTTGAACAGAAGAAATTTTCAATTTCTTCCTTTTTTATGCTTTTTTCTTTATTATCACTTAAGTTATCTTTATTTGATTCATTATTATTAAAATTATTTTCATTATCATTTATATATGTATTATTACCACTTTCTAAAATATTGCACTTATTTATATCAAAATTTTCTCTATTAGGATATTTGTTTTTTACAGATGTTATATGAACATCATTATTTTGATTATTATTATTATTTATTTTATTGTTATTATCATATCTATTAATTTTGTCTTCATTTCTTAATTCGTAATTATTTCCTTTATATAATATTTTGTTTTTGTTTTTGTTTTTTTTTTCCTTATTTTTAGAAGTATTATAAATTTTACATGATTCTATTAGTCCATTATTATAAAAAAAGTAAAATACTTTATTACTATTGAATGGATTAATTTTCAATTTCTTAAAAACTTTATCATCTTTCCAATTACATTTATATTTTGTTAATTTCTTATCAATATAAATTCCCTTTCCATTCCTTTTTCCATTCATAAAATATCCATAAAAGGATTCTCCTGAATTATATAAAATTAATCCTTTTCCATGAGGTAAATTATTTTTATCTAATTCTCCAATATATTTATAATTTTCAAATTCAACAAAATTATTTATCTTACTACTAACATTATTACCCATTATTCAACAAAATACAAAAAAAAAAAAAAAAAAAAAAAAAAAAAACAGATAGTTAATATTCTTTATAATTTTATAAAATAATAATTAAAAATCTTATTTCCACTTTATATTTTTAATTTTTATTTCTTTATATTAGTAGAATTCAACTTTTTTNAAAAAAAAAAAAAAAAAAAAAAAAAAAAAAAAAAAACAGATAGTTAATATTCTTTATAATTTTATAAAATAATAATTAAAAATCTTATTTCCACTTTATATTTTTAATTTTTATTTCTTTATATTAGTAGAATTCAACTTTTTTAATATTTCTTTCATTATAATGAAAAAAAAAAAAAATAAATTAAATAAAAATAAATTAAATAAAGTACATTAAAACAAAAAAAAAAAAATGTGTTTTTGAAATAGGACAAATAAGAATACATTAGGGAAAAAAAAAAAAAATTTAATTTCATATCTAAATTAAAAAAGAGATATACTGTATATTAATACAACAGAAAAAAAAAAAAAAAAAGAAAAAGAAATTACTAAATTAAATTAAGCTAAACAATAATTTTAACTATAAATCTATAACAAATAATAAACTAAAATATTACAAATATGAAAAAATAATTTCAAATCAGTATATATTTAATGAAAATTCCTTTATTTTACATAAAAAGAATGTAAAACCAGTAAAACAATGTCTAAAAAAAAAAAAAACTGAAATGTAAAAAGTAGTTAATAATTTTATATTTTAAAATCTCACAGTATCATCTATTCGTATACTGAGTTTTTATGTATTTAAACTACTTTCATATTTTAATATTATATTTTTATTGAGGGACTTAATAATTATCTGTTTATTTATTAATCTAATTATTTGTTTTATATACATATATACATATATTCATATAAATATTTATGCATTTAAAAATATTTTACTTTTTTTTTTTTTTTTTTTTTTGATTAAATAAGATAAAATATTTATAATAAATGAAATTTTTACTTTTGTATACATTAATTCTGTTGAAAAAATAATTAAAAAAAAAGATTTCTTATTTGTATTTAATAATATTAAATTTTTTATTTTTTTTTTTTTTTTACGATTGAATTTTTCTTATTTTAATAAGAACATTTATTTTTAAACCTATTATCAAATTTTTGTGTATGTTAAGCTAATATAACTACTATGTAATTTTTATTTTGTATATTTATGTTTATATTTTTTTAATTTAATTATGAAAACAGTTTATTTTACTTTTTTTTATTTCAAAAATTTCATTAAACAAAAAAAAATTCTAACATTTGTTTTAATAATGATCTAAGAATTTAAAAAATGTGAATAAATATTTTCTTTTTCTTTTTATCTTTTTTAATTTGTTTTTACTGTCTTTGTAGATTATTAGAAATATAAAAAATATATTTTTATTTTTTTTTTAATGAAGTTTTATGAATATATTTGTGTAGAGATATAAAAAAAAAAAAAAAAAAAAATGAATAAAATAAATTTTAACATTTTAGACAATTTTGAAAAATTAATAAAACTTGAAAATATTTATGAAAATAAAGAAATAGAATTATGTTATGAACATTTAAGTAAGGATGAATTAATTGAAAAAGGAATTTTGTTGAATAATTTAACTATTAAAGCAGTTACAAAACATAGTGACAATCATAATTCTTATGTTTTAAAATTAGTAAAAAAAAAAAAAAATGTTGAAACTAATGATTTAAGTGATGATGAAAACTTGGACAATTTTAATCATAATTTATTTAGCAAAGGTAGTATTGTACATTTTTCAAAAAAGAGAAAAAAATATATATTAAATAAAGAAAAAAATATAAATAATTCTATAATTACGGATATTGTAAATATATATGTATGTACTGTTCATAAAATTAAAAAAAATCAAATTAGTATATTAATTAGAAATATCAATGATTTATGTAAAGAATTAAATGTAAGTAACGCATATATGCTAAGTGATAAAAATTTCTTTGATGTATGCCTAGTTAATAGTGAAATATCTGTTAAAAGACAACTTCATGCAATTAATCTCATGAAGAACAATTTGGAAAATCCTTCAGATATTCTAAAAATTTTATTTTTAGATAAACATCCAACCCAAAGTCCATTTATAAAAGAAGTTTTAAATATTTTTGATAAATATGAAAAAAATGAAGAAAAAAACAATAAAGATAATGGAGAAAATAAGGATAATAAAAGGGAATACAATCCACCTAACAATATAGAAAGTTGTTTAATTGAAAATGGAGAAAAAAAATTAAATGATAATTTGGAAAGTTTTTTAATTGAAAATGGAGAAAAAAAATCAAATGATAATTTGGAAAGTTGTTATAATGAGCAAGCCGATGACAATAATAATTTTATAAAAGAGGAAAATATTGAAAATATTGAAAATATAGAAAATTATATATATAAATGTGATAAAATAGAATGGGGAAATAAGAATTTAAATTATAATCAGAAAAAAGCAGTATACTTTTGTTTATATTCTAATGATATTTTTTGCATTCATGGACCACCAGGGACAGGTAAGACTACTGTATTATGTGAAGTTATTTTTCAATTAATAAAAAGAAATTTTAAAATTTTAGTAACTGGTCCAAGTAACGTTTCAGTAGATAATATTTTAGATAAATGTATTAAGATGAACATTAAGAACGTTGTTAGAATTGGATTAAAATCAAAAATAAAAAAGGAATTATGGAGTTACAGTTATGATGAAAAAATAAAAGAGTGTGATAGCTATAAACTATGTGAAGATATTGATAAAGATATCGAAAAATTAAAATTAGAGATTGCAAAATTAAAAAGTAAAAAAAAATCAGAAAAAAGTTTATATGACAGAAAAAGCATAATAAATCTAAAATATGAAATAAAATTATTAAATAAAAGTCGTAAAAAAAAAAGGAATGTTTTTTTTAATGAATTGATGAATAAAAATAATGTTTTACTTACTACATGTTCTAGTAGCTCTAATTATGAGTTGAATAAATTCGTTAAATATTCTAATTTTTTGTTTGATGCAGTATGTATTGATGAATGTTGTCAATGCACAGAACCTTTATGCTATATACCTATTTCTTTTTCAAAAAAAAATGTTTTCCTGTTTGGAGATCATAAACAATTATCTCCATTAATAAAATATGATAAGAATAATAATAAATTGAATGTAACATTATTTGAAAGATTAATTAAAAAATACCAAAATAAAATTTCTTTTTTATTAAATATACAATATAGAATGAATGACCTTATTTTAAAATGGTCTAATAAGATTTTTTATGAAAACAAACTAATTTCTCACAATTCATGTAAATATATAACTGTTGATGATCTTATATCTAATTCTAATGAGAAAAAAAAAAAAATTAGTAAAGAAAATAATAAAAAAAATAAAAAAAAAGATAATAAACAAAAAAAAAATAAAGAACTGGATATTATACAAAATGATAATGCGAGTTGCATGATAAAAAATTATTCCTATTACCCAATTACATGGATAGAAACAGATGGATTTGATGAATTTCTAGATGATACTAATGATTTAGATATGATAAATTTAGAAATAAAAGAAAAAAAGAATCATCAAATTAACGATCAATCGAAAAATGTTACAAAAAAAATAAAACAAGAAAATAATATGAAAAATACAAAGGAATATGAGACAAATCCAGGAAATACTATATCAAATAATAAGGTAGTGTTTGAAAAAAACAAAAATAACCATAATATAAACGATAAATATGATGTAAATAATGATAATAAAAAATGTGATATTTCCAATATAGAAAAGCATGATATAGATAATTTAAAAAAAAAATATAATGATAATTATTTTAATAGCAATGATAGTGAAGAGTTTAATGAAGTTAATTCATTAAAAAATTTAAATGATAATGAATTAAATGATATTGTAAAAATTGACATTGATGATATTATAAATTTAAATAATAAATCTCGTAGTAACAGTGGTGAAGCATATGTTATATATAAATTAATAGAACGAATGGTTAAAATAAACAATATAAATACAGATTATATATGTATAATAACCCCGTATTCAAAGCAAATGAATTTATTAAGGAATATATTTTATGATAATTTTTATGACGATAAAAATTATACTAATATTTATAAAAACATTGAAATATCAACTGTAGATTCCTTTCAAGGAAGAGAAAAAGAAATTGTAATACTCTCATTAGTATGTTCAAATTATTTTAAAAATATCGGTTTTTTAAAAGATTATAGAAGGTTAAATGTTGCAATAACTAGAGCAAAAAGACACGTTGTTGTAGTAGGAAACTCAAATACCATATCTAATGATACTGTATTAAATGAATTATATGAAACTATATTAACTTATGGTAAAATTTATTTAGTTAATGAAATCATCGATGTTGAACAAATGATTATGAATAATTAAATTTTTTTTTTTTTTTTTCTTTTAAATATATTTTAATCAAATGGTATATAAAATAATATATATATATAAAATAATATATATATATAGATAACTAATTAAAATTTAATTCTTTAAAAAATGTTAAATTTAAAAGAATAATCTTCATAATTTAAAATTATACATAATCATAATTTATAATTTAGAATAAAAGCTCATCGTCATTATTATTATTTTCAAAGCTATTTAAAATTAATTTTCCTCTTTTAACTTGACTTACCAAATAACAACTTTTACTTTTAAATCTTTCAACAACAAACTTTTTATGATCAAATTTAACATCGTCCCATGATGGAATATTATTAGTATTAGAAATACGAATTTTGTCTAATTTATTTTCATTGAATTGTTTGTTTTGGGATATGTTATTAACAGAATCTTCATATAAGTTATTATCATAATTATTTTCTGTATATAAATTTTTTCCTTCTGAGTTTCCTTTATGACTTTCATTAATTCTAATGTCTCTATTTTCCTTTTTATTATATTGTTCCTTAACCTCGTTAGTAAGTATATCTTTTATATTTTTATTTTTAATATTATTTAAAGTGTTTTTATTTCTACATTCAAATTTCTCCTCATCTTTATCTTCATCTTTATCTTTATCTTCATCTGAATCTGAATCTTCTATAGAAAATATTGTGAATGGAGCTTGAATATAAGAATTGTCTTTTTCATTTATATGAGATATATCATCACAATTATTTGTTTCATCTCTTTTATTTTCGTCATTTAATTCAAGTAAATTATTAAGTTTATAATCATTAACATTTAATTCTATGTCTTTTATGGATGAAATATCAATGTATCTGTTATTTGTATTTTCTGAATTATTTCTTTTATTTTTCATTTTAAAGGATTTTTTTCTTGAAAATAAAGATAATAAACCTATATTATTATTTTCAAACTTTCTTATAGAATCTGCTAATGGTAGGTTAGTTGTAGAGATAAAATTTGTTACAATAAAAGATTTGTCTTTGTTTTTTTCTAAAAATGAATTTAAATAATTGGTAAAATTTTTTTTTTTGAATGAATTATCATTTATAGTAAAATTATACTTGTGACTTTTATTTGTATGACTATTTAATCTATTCATTTTCCCTAATCGATGAATATATGTAATTGCATCAGATGGGAAATGAAAATTAATTATATGATCAACATTTTTTGTGTCAATTCCCCTACTTATTAAATCTGTAGTAATTAATATACAAAATTTTGAATTATAAAATTTATATAAATTTTGAATTCTTGAATTTAATGATAAATTTTTATGAAAAGAAAAAACTGGCCAATTATGTTTTTTTAAAAAATTATAAATTTTATTACAATCCTTTATATTATTAACAAAAACAATAGTTTTATATATCGGATTTTTATGAAATAAATGAAAAAATTTACTAGAAGAATTATTTGATATTTTTTTTTCTTTATTATTTTTATTTAATTTATTACTTTCTTCATAACTTTCTATATCTTCATTAACTTCATAATTTATAGTATTTTCATGATACTTTTTTAAAATATAAATCAAAATATCAAGTCTATGTTCAAAAGAGGCATTTTCAAATTCGTTTATTTTATTTGATAAAGAGAATTCTTTTAAATTAACGCTATTTTTTGTTTTATTACTATTATTATATAAATATAAATTTATAATTTTTTCTTTATTCAATTCTATCCATTGCGTATATATATTTTGAGGTATTTTATAATTACTTTTACTCATTATTTCAACCAAATTGTTAAATCTTTCAGTTAGCATACTTCCAGCGGTAGTATGACCAACTGAAGGCAAAGTAGAGCAAACATATATCAATTGTATTAATTGTATGTCATCTTTTTTTTTTTTTATTTTATTATTTTTATTATTACTATAATCATTGTCACCATTAATAATAGTGTCTTTTTTTTTTTTTTTAAGATCTATTTTTAACTTTTCTTGAGAAGCACTGTCATCCTGTTTTACGTATTCATAATTAGAAGAAGAAGTATCAATATATTCGGTTTTGTAACAATTATTTTTTAAGTTTTTCTCATTTTTAAAACTCTTGTTACTATTGTTAGAATTATTTTGTTCATTAATTAAAATATCTTCAATTGATTTATTTATATGTTCAATATTTTCATTGCTTATATCAATATGAGGATTATATATTTCCGGCCTTTTCTTAATTATTTTAAAAATGTTCATCATTGTATTTCTATAAGCATTGTTTTGAAATAGCATATCTATTTCATCAAATATTATTATAGATGGTAAAATATTACTACAGTTATTTTTAAAACTATTTAAAAATATATCTGGTGTTGTAATTAATATATCTGCAAAAGACCACATTATTTGGTCATTACATAATACTGCATTATTTATATGTTTAACATTTTCTACTTCTAAATTTTCTATATTAAAATTGTCTTTTGAATAGTTTTCAAAATTTTCTTTTTCTATTTCATTAGTAACATTAGTATATGGTACATCATTTAGAGTTTGTATATTAATTCTATTTAATATATCTAATTGTTTTATAACATTTATTATTTGATTAATATTGTCTTTATTAACAGTTATTATAATCACTGATTTATTTATTTGTAGTGGATTTATGGTTAAATAGCGATAAATTGATTCATAATTATTTTGATCTGTTACGCAATTTTTAGCTTCATTTTTTTCATTATATTTTAAAATATGATGTAATTTTTTTAATTCTTGTTCGTTATTGTAATTACTATTTAAATTACTTAATTTTATGTTGTTTATTTTTATTATTTCAATTAATTTATTCATTATACTTATACTCTGTATTTTTCCGAAACTGCTACTTACCTCCATATTTGTAGTATCAGTTGCATTTATATCATTTTTTAAATTTAATGAATTACTTTTTTTTTTTCTTTTTTTTCTTCCAGTAGTTTTAAAAAATTCTTCATTTGATTTATCAAAACATGGTGGCAATAAATGAAAATTTTCTTGCATTTTTTTATTTATATCAAAATTGTCTTCAAAAAAAACATTATTCTTGTAATAACTATATTTTAATAGGTAATTATTCATTTCTTCATATAAATTAAAATTATTATTAAATTTATAATTATTTTTTATGCAATTGATATTATTATTCTTCTTTTCACTGTAACTATCTAAAATAATTTTTTCTAAATAGTCATGTAAAAAATATAGATTATTTAGAATTGGTAGCAAATAGGCTATAGTTTTCCCTGAACCATTAGGATAATTTATGAGTAAATCTTTTCCTTTCTGAATTGTTAAAAAGCTATTTATTTGCATTTCATTTAATTCATTTATATGAATTTTTTTTAAACCTAATAACAACATTTTATGAATATTCAATTCATTTATTTCATCATAGTTTTTTTCATATAAATATATATTATGAGGATCACTTTCAATTTCGTAATAGTTGTACTTTTTATATAATTTTTTTTTTAGTTCTTCATATTTATTTTTTAATTCTTCATTTTTTACTGATAGATTAGGTTTGTTATTATTATTTTCATTTCTTAAAAAATTTTTTTTTCCATTTTTTTCATTGTTGTATTTTTCATTTTCGTATGTATTTTCATTATTTTTTTCTTCATTTAATTTTATTTCATCATTAAGATACCTTAATTTTTTTGTTCTTAAAAAATATGTTTGTTGTAAAAAAAAAAAAAAGGATTTTCTCCTTATATTATTCCATAAAAAAATTTCTTTAATCTTCATTTTTTTAACATTTTCTTCATTTTTCTTTTTTCATAAAAATGACGTATATATATTATTACTTTTTTTAATAAAGATATATTTACTCAATTAGTATATGAAGAAAAAGAAGGAATTTTAAATAAATACTATGAAGTTTCTATGAAATTTCATTAATATATTATTATCAAATTCGTTAAAAAATAATAAAAAAAATGAGAACCTCATAATTTTAAATATACATTTTTTTTTTCTAAAAATATTATTTCAACATAATTTTTATTAATTTTTAAAAATTATATATTTAATACTATTTCTTCCAGAATAGTTTTTTTTTTTTTTTTTATTATTAGTAAAATAACTTTACTAATAATTTTAATAGAATATAATTAATATTATAAAAAAATACTTTTTTTCATTGTTTTTTTTTTGGGTTACATATATATATATATATATAATAAAACTTTTCTAAAGATTTACATTATTACTCTTTATATCTATTTTGTTATTTTTATTATATTTTTATCATTTATATACACCCCTGTGTTATATTTTAAATACAAAAAGAAAAAATAAAAATGATTGAAGAAGGAATAATTTTAAAGTTTTATAGAAATAAAAAAAAATAATGGAAGAAAACAAAAAGTTATAAAATGATAATTATTCAATTTTTTATTCTTTTATTTGTGTTGATAGATATAAGATGTATAATTTCATTAAAAATTGAAAACTATAAGGGAAATTTTAATTTTCATAATTACAATAAAAATAAAGGGAGAATAATATCTCATTTGTTTGTTGAAGTAAAATATCGTAAAAAGTTACCTTTTTCTGATCGTTTTATAATTGAGAGATTAAAAAATAACTACAAATTTATATCTTTAAACAAAGGAAGTAAAAACATAAAAGATAAATTGAGATTTTCAATAAATAATGAGAGTAATAATACTATAAACAAAAGTCAAAAAGAGAGGAATACATATAAAAATAAAACAAGTAATAATACGAATAACAGGGATAATATAGAAGTTAATGAAAAAAAAAAAGTAGAAAATGAGAATTATAAAAATAAAAATGTAAAAAATGAGAATTATAAAAATAAAAAAGTAGAAAATGAGAATTATAAAAATAAAAATGTAGAAAATGAGAATTATAAAAATAAAAAAGTAGAAAATGAGAATTATAAAAATAAAAATGTAGAAAATGAGAATTATAAAAATAAAAACGTAGAAAATGAGAATTATAAAAATAAAAATGTAGAAAATGAGAATTATAAAAATAAAAATGTAGAAAATGAGAATTATAAAAATAAAAATGTAAAAAATGAGAATTATAAAAATAAAAATGTAGAAAATGAGAATTATAAAAATAAAAATGTAGAAAATGAGAATTATAAAAATAAAAACGTAGAAAATGAGAATTATAAAAATAAAAATGTAGAAAAAAAAGTTTCTTATAAAGAGGCGAAAAGTACCAAAAAGGAGAATGAAGAGATAGCTAAAAAAAAAATTACAAAAAAAATTATTAAAGGAACAATAAATAATAACTATGGTTATTACAACCAAGTAAGGAGTACTTATAACATTGTAGATATACAAAATACAACTGTAAGAGATTTTTTAATTGAACATAATGAAATAAGGTGAGAATATTATATATATATATATGACTACCAAAATTGTGTGTTTTAAAAATTTATTTTAAAATGAATATAAATATATTTTATTTAAAATTTTTTTTTTTTTTTTTTTTTTTTTTTTTTTTTTAGATCTTTAAAATTGTTAGACCTTATATATAAATTTTGGAAAAACAAAAATTTTTTAAATTTCTTTGACATTTTAAATAATGAAAATTTTGATTATACATGTATTGAAAAATGGTTGCATAAATTATCAATAAGTTTAAGTAAGAAACAGCTAAAAATTAAAATTATGAATGATCATATACTAATTAAAAATGAACATTTTTTAAAAAAAAAAAAAAGAATAAAAGAATTTAAAATAAGTTATTGTTCTATAAATAAATGTTTAAATATATTGATAAACAATTTTGACAAATTTTGCTCTTATGAAATCACATCTATAGTATGGGCTATAACAATTATCATAATAAAATCATTTAAAAATTCTAATAATTTAGATTTTGGAAATTCTTTAGAATTTAATAATGTAAATTTAACTATTATTGAAAATTTTAACACATTTTTTTCATTAATAATTAAAAATCTAAATAAAATAAAAAATTATTTGTCTGTTGATGAGGCATTATGGGCAATTTGGAGTATTTGCAAATTGTTATATTTTAATATTTCTATAAATAATTATTTAACTAGTAGTAAAAAATTTATTGATAAAAATTTGCAAAACGATAATAATAATGATAATAATAGTAATTTAATTTTAGATATTTCAAGAGGATATATTGAAAATATAGAGGATAATGAAAATATTAATAACTTAAAAAAAAAAGGAGATATAAAAATTTTGAATAGCTGTACAACTGAAAATAATAAAAATTTAAATGGTAAAAAATTAAATGAAATACATGATAATAAAAATTTTATAAAATATAATAATAATAAAATAGTATATATGATGAAAAAGTTTAAATTAACTAGGGAAATAGTAATAAATATTTTAGATGTTTTTGATTATCTCTATAGTAAATTATATAATAATATAACTTTTTTAAAAGAAAAATATTACATATATATACCATTTATTATTTTTGAATCACAAACATTAATATTAAATAATGGTATAATTTTATTAAATAGAATAATTTATTTAATTTTAAATAATAATATTTTACTAAAATTATTTAATTTTAACTCTTTAAAAAATACATATTCAAAAAATTCAAATTTATTTCAAAATGACTTAGATAAAAATAAAGATATTTTTAGAATAAAAACTTTGAGTAAAGTATATAAATTAATTAAATGTATTTCTAAAACATTTTATCCTTTAAAAAATGTAAATTTACTTAATTTTGATTTACATAATAATTATAAAAATTTAAATATAAATATTTTAAGTAAATTTATTAATACATGTAATGATGTGTTGGTTAAATATATTGATTATTTTATTTTTATTATGAAATTTAAAAATGATACAAAGGAAAAGGAAAGTATAAAAATCCAATATGAAAAAAACCAAGATAATGAAAATAATAAAATAGATAATAAAGGAAAAGAAAATAATACAGAAATGAATAATAATATAAAAGAAAATATAATTGAATTAAATGATAAAGTAAAATTAGAATATAAAAATGAAATTGTTTTTATTTATAATTGCTTAAAAAGTTCATTAGTTTCTTTAATTAAACTAGATTTAAAAGATAAGTTTATATACGAATGGTTAAATAAAAATGTACATATTTTTCAATTCAATAGACTTGATGAAACTAATAAATTATATGAATTAAAAAATAAATTGATAGAAAATAATGAATATCCTATTTTAAATAATAAAGAAGAAAATAATTCCATAAATTTAGAAATGGATAAAATAAAAGATAACAGTATAAAAATAGATGAAAATGAATCAGCATTAATGAATGAAAAAAAGGAAATTGAGGAAGATATATTTAGTGAAACAAATAGTATTCATTTACCATATGATAGTAAAAGTGAATATAATAAAGTGAATGATGAGAAAAATGAAAAATTAAGTGTTTTAAATAACACTGATATGAAAACATATTTGAATTTAATTAAGAATAATTCCGATATAAACAAGAATAATTCTGATGTATGTCTAGATGTTTTAGCACTTAGTAAATTTACAAAAATATATAACAATGAAATGAAAACGAAATTAATAGAAAATGTTACATACAGCATAGAGCATTCATTGAAAATATTTAAAATAATTTATGAAAATGAAAAAATTAGTAATCCATCTTATGTAACCATAAATGATATATATATTATAAAAGACAAAAATATAGAAGAATTATATAATGAAGAAACAAAGACATTTTACAAAAAAAATAAAAGTATAGAATTTCGAAACATTATAATGCCAAAACAATTATCCATTTTTGTAAATTATATAGGGAGAAATATTCATTTAATACCCAAACAGGAATTAGATAATATTTTTCTTATATCCATTAAATATGCAATTACAACAAAATTTAATTATTTTACTTCTAATGATATTATACATTTCTTACAAGGTTTAATAAATTATAATGAATTGGATAATCATTCAAAATTTTATTATGATGTTATAAATGAGATGTTAATGTTATTATGCGATATTGTTGAAAATAATTTTTTAAATTGGAAATCATCAAATATATGTCAATTAATTTATGTATTAACAAAATTTAAACATATTCATAAATTTATTTTTAATAAATTTGATGAGTTTTTAAATAATATTAAATTTCCATATTATATTTATCAAAAAGCAAATTACATAAACCATGAAAATGTGTTACAAGGTAATCATGATAGTAATTTAACAGAAGAAAAAAAAAACAACAATATTAATATATCACAAATATCAAATAATAATAGTGAAAAAATGAATGGAAATTTTAATAACATAATTGAAAAAAATAATAAATTTCATAAAAATAATGAAAATCAAAGGATAGATATTTCTATAAATGAATTTAAATATGATAACTTAGGATCAGCAATATGGGCTTTAAGTTCTCTTAATAAAAATGTGATTAAAAAAAAATATTATTTAAAATTTTTTTATTTTTTTTCTGTTTATTTTTCTCTACACATGAAATTATATTTACATTATAAAATTAGAAATAATAATTATGCTCTTTATAATAAAGAAAATTTAAAAAAAAAATACTTGAATGATTCAAAATTTTTACAGTATAATACCAATTACTTTAAAATTCCATTGGATCCGATGACTATAAGTATATATGTAAATATATTCGCAAGAAAAATAAAAAAGGGCTTTTACTTCCTTTTTGAAGTTATTTATAATAATGTAGACATTATTAATCTTTTTTCTTTAAAGGAACTTTCACATGTTATATATTCTTTATCTCATATAAATAAAAATTCTTTACAAGACAGCGTTTTTGACATAAGTATACTTAATAATATAAATTCATTAGAAGAAAAAGAAAGTTATTTTTTAGAAGAATTTTTAAAATCAAATATTTCATTGTGGATAGAAGAATTGGATTACTTGTTTTGTTTTGATCATTCTAAAAATTTACATGAAATAAAAAATAAAAATACCGATCAAAGTATGAATATAAAAACAGAAGATATGGGAAATAAAAATGGTGAAAATATAAATGATAATATTTATCAAACGGAAAATGACTATAAAAATGATAGTGAAATGATTATTAATACGAATTCTTATGATGAAAAATATAAAAATTTTATAAGAAAAGATAAATTTTTAAAATTAAAACATGAAAGAATTAATTTATCTAATGAATTCTTAAATATGTTAATGGAAAGATTAATATATTTTACAATATATATTTTAGAAGAGAAAAAAAATACGCAAGAAATTTCATCAAATAATAGAACTTTTACAAGAAACTTTAATAAAAAAAATAAAATAGAGATTATTGATTTGATTAAATTAATATATAGTTTTTTTATTCTATTAAATCAAAAAGTTCAAATAAATGAAACAAAAAATATAAATTTTCATAGATTAGAAAAACTAATTTCTCAATATAATTTAATAGTTAAAAATTTTCTACATTCATTTAATTATATTTATTTTGTAATTGATACATATGCTTTAGTTAGTAATATATATTATCTTGATCAATCTACAAGAAATATAATAAAGGTAATCCAAAAATAAGAACAATGTTATATATATAATACATATTAATATATTTATGAAGTTATTTAAATGTAATTTTCTTTGTTTTTTATTTTCATATAATTCTTTATAAAAATATAAACACTTTTTTTTTTTTTTTTTAGGAGTTTGTCAAAATATGTATAAAAAAAATTGAAGAAGAAAAAATACTAGATTTAGAAAAAAAAAAAATTACATTAAGTATACAAAATTTAAAAGTTACTAATTTTAAATAAGGTTATTTTTTTTTTTTTTATTTTATTTCTCATAAATTTGTATTATTGTTTTATTTTTAATAATCTTTTTTCATTTTTATAATTATATGTATATATAGGCAATTATATAAAAGTAATTATGTTAAAATAACCATGTATAAACTTTTTTTTTCCTTTTTTTGTTGTTATCTATATTTCCTTAAAAAAAAAAAAAAGCTTTATGTGTTTGTTTCCTTTTTCATTTTAAATGTTAATTCTATTTGAATAGGATGTTATTATCTTTTTCTTTTTCTTTTTCTTTTTTTTTTTTTTTTTTTTTCTCTATAATAAATGTCTTCTATAAATTTTTTTATTTAATTATTCATTTTCTTCATCTATATATATATATATCTAATTTTTTAAAGTTTACTTAATATACCACATGTTAATTTTATTACATTTTTTGCATTCAATATTTCCTTTATTAAGATAACTTAGAATATTGTAAATATTATCTTTGTTTAAAAAACAATTCCTTTGCTTATTAACACCACATAACCCATTACTATATATTTGCCTATATAAATTATCGTAAATTTTTACATTATTTTCATTAACTTTTTTTTTATCTAACACATATTTATTATAATATAATTTAGAATATTGAGGATATATTTTTTCAAATATTAAATCACACGCCTCTTTATAAAATATAAAATTATTACATTTTTTGCAAAAAAATTTACACAAATCTTTACTTGTTTTCATTTCAAAATTTTCAGAAATTCGTATTTTTTTTTTTAAAGAATTCAAAAAATATATATTAATAATAATGATAATTATAAATAATAAATGTTTATTTGTAATCTTAATCTTCTAAAAATTTAACAAAAAAAAAAAAAAAAAAAAAAAGATTTACTCTTTAAATTCTTCAGATGTCTTAATTTATGTTTTACATATTTTATTCTAAGATATTCTGTATTCATATTTTTTTTAATAATTTTATACTGATATATTTTTTAAATGATTATTTATAAAATATTTTTAATCTACATATTTTATAAATATATCATATTCGTATTTATTTTAAAAATTTTGTATTCATTTATCTATTTATAAGTTAATATATTAAAAAAAAAAAAAAAAAAATCAAAATATTTAAAAGAAAAAATATATTAAAAAAAAAAAATAAAATTACTCTATAATAATTTATTAAACTTTTCATTTTTTTTTTTTTTTTTTTTTAATTTTTATATGTATTGATGTTATTTGGTATGATTTTATTCATTTAATTATATTTTTAATAATTGTATGTTAATAGAAATACAATTTATTGTTCCAATGAGTGAAAAAAAAAAGAAATTATTTTGAAAATGCCTAAAAAAAGAAATTGTAAAATATAGGAAATTATGATGACCCCCATTATTTGGATATCATATTTAATAAATGTAATATGCTGTGTTACATTAAGAAACCATTATTTTATTAAATCTTACTATTATTCTAAGATAAAAAATAGAGAAAATAAAATATATGGGATACCTAGAATGTACAGATGGTTAACATCTTATTATCCTACAGTAAGAGAAGAATTAATTAATAATGAAAAGCAAAAAGTGGTTGATATTTTTTATATTGATATGAATGGAGTTATTCATCACTGTACTCATGCCAACAAAGATAAATTACCTATATATGATGAACATCAGTTATTTTCAAATATTTTACAATATTTAAAAAATTTATTTTATTTAATAAAACCAAGAAAGTTAATATATATTGGTGTTGATGGGGTCTCACCAAAAGCAAAAATGAATCAGCAAAGAAAAAGAAGATTTTTAAGTTTATTTAAAATTCATGAAAATATTAATACATCAAATTTATTTAATCCTAATTGTATAACAACAGGAACAGACTTTATGTATAAAATAAACTTATCATTAAATAAATGGTTTAAGATTTTAAAAAAAAAAAAAGTTTTTAATTTTCAAGTTTTATTTTCGGGTTCTGATGTTGCTGGAGAGGGAGAACATAAAATTTTGAAATTTATTAGAGAGGTATATATATATATATATATATATTTTAAAAAAAATATAATATTTTAATATATTTATACATTTATTATTATATTTATTTGTAAACTTTTTTTATTTTTGTTTAGAATTGTAAAAGAGATTCTAATTTTAAAAATTATAATCACTGTATATACGGATTAGATGCTGATCTAATTATGTTATCTTTAGTTACTCATTTAAATAATATATTTATTTTGAGAGATAAATTTAAAATAAATAATGATTCACAAAACAGTATTTTAGAAAATATTGAAAAATCACAAGTGGGACTTAATATATATGATAATATTGCTCCTAGTGAAAATGATAAAAAGGAAGAAACTGTAGAAAAAAGCACTCTAGATGGGGATACTAAAAATAATGATTCGATAGAAGAAAAATTTATAGAAGAGGAATCTTCAGGAAAATATGAGGAAACAAATAAAGAAGAGAGAGATAAAGTTTTAAAAGTTGGTAGTGAACATATTGAAGAATTTGATGGATATAAAAAATACTTCAATAAAATTCATAAATATACTAAAGATTATTATATCAATCATGAATGTTTAAATAGCAATGATTTTGAAGTATTAGATATTTATAAATTACGAAATTCTATAAAAACACAAATAGCTACATATATAAATAAATTAAAAAAAAATAAAAATATAGTTTTTAGTATAAATAGAGTAATTGATGATATAGTTTTCTTATCATTTTTAGTAGGGAATGATTTCCTACCCCATATTCCAAATATTGATATAAATGAAGGATCAATGAATGAAATTTTAAATTCATATATATTTTACATTTATAAATATTCTAATTATATAACATATAAAGATAAGGTACATATACAGAGATTAAAAATTATATTAAAAATTTTGAGTGCACAAGAATTTGAATATTTTAAAAAAAGAGGAATAAATGAAAAAATTTCAGAATTCACAGATGAAAAAAAATATAAAAATTATTATTATCTTCATAAATTTGGTTTTAACGATTCAACAAAAATACAAGAGATTGTAAAAAAATATATAGAAGGATTATTTTGGAATTTGCATTATTATCATTTTGGTTGTGCTAGTTGGTATTGGTAATTTTTTATTTTTTTTTAAATCATTTTTTTAAAATTTAAAAAAAAAAAAATAAATATATAAATCACTACTTGAAAGTTAATATATATATATATGATTAAATTTTTCTAATAAAAATATTTATTTTTTTTTATATTAAATTTATATTAATTTTTTTTTTTTTTTTCTAAGGGAATATCCATATCATTATGCACCTTTATGTAGTGATTTATTAAGTTTTGAAAAATCAGATTTTTTTTTTGAAAAGGTAAAGTATTTTTTCATATTTTTATAAAATTTCAATATACTTTCTATTATACCTGTATAATTTTTTTTTAGGGAAAACCTTATTCTGCCTATACTCACTTAATTAGTGTTCTACCGCAAAAAGATAAAAATCTTCTACCAGATGCATATAAGTAATTAAAATCATACTTCATATTTTTTAATCTTAAATTCATTAAAATTTTTATATAAATTTAATTAACTGTTCCTTTTTTACTTTATTATTTATCTTTTTTTTTTTTTTTTTTTTTTTTTTTTTTTTTTTTTTATAGAAATATTTATGTAGAAGATGAAGTCAAATCGTTTTTCCCAGAAAATGTTAAAATTGACCCAAACGGAAAAAAGTAACTATCTATAAAAAAAAAAAAAAATGTTTTAAAAAGAAAATAAAAATATATTTTTTTTATTTTTTTTTTAGAGAAACATGGGAATACATAGTACACTTGCCTTTTATAAATTGTAATATGATAGATAAAATAATTACGGAAAAAAGTAAAAAAATTTCAAGTCTTAAATTTAAATTAAGGTATTTTTAAAAAAATACAAAGATAAGAAATTAATATACATTCTCTTGAAATATTTATAAAAAAAAAAAAAGGAAACTAAAATTTTATTAAAAAAAAAAAATTTTATAGACAAAAATTTTAATTTTTCTTTTAATAGGGAGTTAAATGGAAGGGAACACAGATATTAATGAAAAAAGAATTTTTTATAAAAAATTTAAAATAAATTATAAAATCTAATAAATAAATATTTTTTAATAAAAAAAAAAGAAAAAAATAAATAAGTAAATTAGATTTTTAAATTAAGAATATTATAGATTTTTAATTAGTTTTTTAAAAATTTTAAAAATAAATTAATAAAAATAAAAAAAAAAAAAAAAAAATAGAGAATATGTGTTTATATGTTATCTCTTATTTTTATCAAGCAACATTAATATTTTTGAATATTCACTATGAGGAATACTTCTAAAAAGGTAAAAAAAAAAAAAAATGTTTTTTTATTTTGTTTAATTTTGTAATTTTATTATTTTTATATAATTTAAAAAATTTATACATATATATATATATATACTAATTTTTAATATTATATTATTTTTTTTTATTAAATTCTTTTTAATTTTTTCTTTTTTTGAATATAACTTACATTTTTTCTAATTGATCTATTTCACTTGTTGTCACCATGATGTCTTTTTTTGGTGATAATGATATATCATCCCTAAAAATATAAGAGAAAATTATTTTATTTTATTTTATTTTATTTTTTTTTTTTTTTTGTTATATTCACTAAACATATATCTTAATGAGAATTTTGAAATATTTTTTATTTTTTTAATTTCACAATATTTTCACTTTTTAAATTATAGCATATATATATATATAGAATACTTTTAAAGCATATATAAGCTACAAAAACGTAGCAATATTATAAAATGAAATAAAACAAATTATGAATATATTAAATGAGATACTATATATTTGTTATAAATTAAAATCAAAGAAAAAAAAAAACATGTATAATGTAAATAAAATATTTCATGTAAATCATAACGAGAATATATATATATATATAATATTTATTTATTTATCGTTTTTTTTTTTTTTTTTTTTTTTCATTTATTACTTATATGAAGAAAATCCAAAAGCATTAGGAGATAAATAATTAAAAGTAAAATTAACTTTATTCTTTAAAAGATTAGTAATGTAATAAATTATATAATTAAAAAAAGAATATTTTTTTAAAAGCATTAAGGAATTAAAATCATAATTTCTGACATATAATCCTTTAGATATATAATAATTTATTATTTCATTAGTTGTTTCATTTAATAATTGAAGAAATTTCACTTTGTTATAATAATATATGTAATATGCCTTTTGTTCAAAATCTTTATTTTTTTTTTTAAAATAATCTAAAAAAGAAATTTTTGAATTATAAAACTCAAACAATTTGTCAACATAATTTATTTCTCTTTTAAGTTCATGCATTATATTCGATGTAATTTTAATTTTTCTAATATTTTCTTTAAATAATTGATATAAATCATTTTTAATTTTTTCTAAGTTATAATCATACTTTTCTAATAAATCTGTTAAAATAATATGTACTAAATAAGAATATTGCCTATTTTTTATTTTTTCTGAATTTTTGTGATATTCTGAATTTTCATTTAATTGAAAACTTGTAAATTGATTTAGTATGTTTTCTACATCTTTAATTATTCTTTTTATATTTATTTTTTTAAGGTCTATATCTAAATTGTTGATTCTAACATCTTTTGTTATCTTTAAATATTCTTGTAATATATTTAATTTAAAATTAGAAAAAAAATTATATAAAAAATAATTTTCATTATATAAATTTTTCAAAGTATCAGGTTTATAATTTTCAAAAAATACATTTTCTTCTTTACTAGAATGAATTTTTTCATTTCTTTTTCTTCTTTTATAATGCTTTTTATTAATTTCTGTGCTTATTTTTTGAATATCAAGCGTATTATCATTTTCAAAACGAAAATTTATTTTAATATATTTATCATACTTTTCTTCCCAATGACATTTTAAAAACATTTTGATGATATTCATAATCTCTGTCTTTTCCTTTTTAATAAATTTATCATCATATTCAGAATCACCATAATTGTATATAATAAATATTAAATTAAAATCATTCTTTTCTTGTTCTAAATAAAATATATAATCTAATGCATTTATAAGATTGTTAAATGAGCTAATATCAAATAAATGCTTATTTAAAACATCATTATAACTAATTGGTATTAAAATAAAATCACATTCATTAATATACTGACAGAAAATTTTCATTTTATCTTTTAAGTATGTTAAATTATTTTCTAAATATTCAAAAGAACTTTCATTTATTGTTGTATTACTATTTTCGTTATTTCCCTTATCAAATTTGATATTTTCTGATTGATTTTTTTCTTCATTTTTTTCAATAAAAGTTCTTTCTATTCTTTTATTATTGTTCTTTAAAATAAGAGGTAAAAAATATACCTTTGTTTTTTTATTAACTTCCTCATATATTTTTATTCCTTCATTTATTGTTTTTGTATATTCATTTTTATTTTTTAATTTCAAATCTTTGCTAACTACACTATATATGTTAAAAAAATTGGAATTTTTTAGCTTAGGTTTTCTTGAACAATTTATTTCATTATATAATAAAAAATAATAGAAAAAAAAAAGAAAAAGAAAAATTTTTTTTTCTACATTATGAATAATTGAAAATTTCATTTTGGTTTTAACTAAAAAAAAGGATAAATAATACCTTAAACCTATAAATATATAGAAATATGTAATATAAGTATATATATATAAATATATAAAATATACATAAAAAAAAAGTTATTCTTTCAAATAAGAACGATATACACATTAAATTTCATAATAGTTTAACAAAAAAAAAAAAAAAAAATTTTTTTTCTGTGTAAGTTTATCTAAAATTTTTTAAAAAACTTTTTTCTAACATAATCATCATATTAATAGAAAAAAAAAATGAAAAAAATTGTGAATACACTTTTAAAATATGAAAAAAAAAAAAAAAAGAAAGAAAAAACAAAATTTGTACATATTATTATTAAAAAATATATTCTTCAAATTATTAAGAATAATTATAAATATTTTAAAAAAACAAAAAAAAAAAAAAAAAAGATTATTCTTTTGTTATAATTTATACTAATTTTATAATTAAACTTTTTTTTATTTTTTTCTTCTTTTTAAATTTATGTTAGATACTGAATAATATTTTATCCGTTTGTTCTTTTTTTTTTTTTAATTTATCTTTTTTCTTTTTTTCAGCGTTATTTTTAAATCTTTTAGTATTTTTAAAATGTATATATTTTAAATCTTTTGAATAATATTCAGGCGTTCTAGGTAATAATGGTTTTTTAATTTTAAAAAAATCTGTTATTTTATCAAATATTTCACGATTTTTCATTCCCAAATAAATTAAAAGTTTTCTTCTTTTGCTAACACACTTAAATAAACCTCTTAAACAAGCAAAATCCTATTTAAAAAAAAAAAAAAAAATTAGACAGTCATATAATAAATATTAAAATCCTATAGGTAAATATAATAATATCATAAAAAAAAAAAAAAATTAAAGATAATATATACACAATTTTATAAACATACTATATATAATGTTTACTTTTTTATTCTTCTTCATATGTTCTGTTAAAAAATAAATCTTAAAAGTTAAAATAATAATTTGTATTTCACTACTTCCACAGTCTTTATCATGCCTCTGAAATAGTTTTCTATATTTTTGAGTAATTAAATCTTTTAATAACTCCTTATATGTGAAAAAAAAAAAAAAAAAAGAAAAAAAAAAAAAGTATATTTTTATATGAATTAAATATCTATAAACAATTTTTTTATTTGGCAAATGTATATTACTGGTTTAATCATTATATCATCTTTATTGAACGAAAACGAACGTTCTAAATGAATGGATTTGCTTTTCTTTAAAATTTCATCTATTTGAACTTTCTGCTTTTCTATATTTTCTTTCAATTTATCATAATTTTTTTTAATATCAGGTTTTATATGTTCTTCATTATTAGTAGTCGTGCTATCATCAAGAGATGACAATTTATCAACTGTATTTTCGTTATAACTACTTTTCTTAAAAAATTTGTTTCCGTTAAATTTCTTTTTATATGTATATTTGGTTGTTCTTTTATTTATGAGAAAATTAATTTTATGACCTAAACAGGTAAAATTTAAAATGAATATAAATAAATACACACACATTTTAAAAAAGGTATATAAATAAAAAATATATTAATATATAGAAATATATATGTTGTATTTAAAATCATACATATTGAACATTATACATATTTCAAATAATATATTTTTTATTTAATTATATAAAATTATATTTTCATTAATAATAAAACTGGAATTATAAAATATGTTTATTTTATATTATTTTTTCTAATCCTACCTACATAGAATCCATTGCAAAATAAAAATTTATATAATATTTGTAAATAAAAAAGTAATGAAATAATTAAACATGATTTAATTTTTTTCATTTAATACTCTTATTCATAATATATATTATTATTACCAAATATATATAAATATAAATATATATATATATATATAACTACATTAGTATATATTTATATCTAAGTAATATATTTTAGAAGTTATTTTCTAGAAACTTCTACTTTTATGTTTTTTTTTTTTTTCTATTATTATTAACAAAACATATACATTATAATAAATAAATATTCTTGCAATTCAGCTAACTCAATGTATATTATTTTTTATATTTTCGTCTTAAATTTTTTTTTTAAATAACACTATAATAAAAAAAAATGAAACAAATAAAAGAAAATTATTAACTATTAAAAGGTTAATTAAAAAATAATATTTTAAAGGAATGAATTTAAATTTAATAAACTATCTTTCGTTTTTATATAAAATGATAATATTAAAAAAAATAATATGAAATAATCTAAATAAGGGATTACACAAAAGCAATTTTTTTCTAAAAAAATATTTTTTATAAGGTGACAAAACTTTACAAGAAAAATTTCATTTTTTCGTATTTTACAATTCTTATAAAAATAAAAAAGATAACTTCAAAAATGTATAATTTTACTTGTAAATAGCAATATGTCTGACCTTATAAACAATAAAAATGTTTTTATCATTTTTCCTTTTTCTTTTTTGTAGGTTATAAAAAATATAAAATTATAAATATTTCAAAACATATAAAAAAGAAAAATGTATAACAGCTTTATAAATGTTAGTAAATATATTTTTTTTTAATTATATAAATTGTTTTTAAAAATATATTTTGAGTTATAGGGAAAGAGATACATTTAAAAATATAAAGTTTGTTCACATAAAATAATTAAAAATATTTTTGAGAATTAGTTTTTTTTTTATTTAATAAGGAAAATTATATTATTTTTTAAAAAATTTTGAAGATATATTTGATATATATACCAATAAAATTGTATATTAACAAGAAAAGTGTTAAGATAAAAATTATTTTAGAAATTACAAACATATATATATATATTTTGAAGAAAAAATTTTTTTTTTATAAGTTAGATTTTAAATTTATTTAAATGAATTTATTATTTATATAAAAAATTAGTTTTATGTAATAATCAGGATTGTACTACAGTTTATAAAAATCAAATAAATTATAAAATATTATTTTTTCAAAAAATTTATTAGTTGTGAAATTTATTTCTTTAAACATTCAATAAAACGCATATATATAAAGTTTGAGTATCTTTTATAACATTTTAAAGAAATCTACATTTTAAATGAAACATTATTGTAGCTATTATAAAAATTTTAATGATATAATATTTTAATGTAAATTTTCATTTAAAGCTACAAATTTTAATCATGTAGAAAATTTAAAATATAATTACGTTTGACAATAATATACTTATGGAATTATATGTATAATTTCCATTACTTTAACGTTTTTTTTTTTTTTTTTTTTTTTTTTTTTTTTTTTTATTTTATATTAGGAATTATAATTTTTTTTTTTTTTTTTTTTGTTTTTACATTTGTATCAATTTTCTTATAAAATGCAAATAAATTTAGCAAACATTAACAGTACAGGTGAAACAAAAAAGGAAAGAGTAAATATACACAGTCATATTAAAGGGCTTGGTGTGAATACAAATATATATATGCATGAAAATGAGGTGAATTTAAGCGATGAAAAATATTCCATGTTTTTTGATAATACCTGTGGTTTAGTAGGGCAGTATAAAGCAAGAGAAGCATCATTATTTCTTGTTGATTTAATTAAAAAAAAAAAATTAGCAGGAAAATGTATTTTATTAGCTGGTCCAAGTGGAAGTGGGAAAAGCGCATTAGCAATAGGAATAAGTAGAGAAATTAATAAAAAAATGCCATTTGTATTTTTATCAGGATCAGAAGTGTATAGTAATGAAATAAAAAAAACGGAAGTTATACTTGAGGCATTTAGAAAAAGTATACACATAAAAATAAAAGAAGAAAAATTAGTATATGAAGGTGAAGTAGTAGATATGGTTGTTGAAGAAAATGAATGCTTATATTCATTAAACAAAGCAAAACAAATTAATGCAATTATTATTACATTAAAAGCAGTTAAAGGATCAAAAACACTAAGATTAGCCCCCAAAATACACGAACAAATAGTTAGAGAAAAAATAAAAATAGGAGATGTTATCTACATTGAAACGAACACAGGTCATGTAAAGAGATTAGGAAGATGCAATGCATATTCAAAAGAATTTGATATTGAATTTGATGAATATGTTTCTTTACCTAAAGGAGAAGTTCATAAAAAAAAAGAAGTCGTTCAACAAATTTCTTTACATGATATTGATTTAGCAAATGCAAACCCAACTGTTGGAGAAGATTTAGCATCCGTTTTAAATTCCTATTTGCGCCCCAAAAAAACAGAAATAACAGAAAAATTAAGAGTTGAAATTAATAAAACTGTAAATAAATTTTTAGAAATGGGTTTAGCTGAGATTATTCCAGGTGTCTTATATATTGATGAAGCGCATATGTTAGATATTGAATGTTTTTCTTACTTAAATAGAGCAATTGAATCTCCACTTGCACCCATAGTTATTATGGCAACAAATAGAGGAATATGTACAGTTAAAGGAACAGATAATATTGAGCCACACGGAATACCAGTGGATTTATTAGATAGATTAATTATTATAAAAACTTTTCCTTACACACTAAAAGAAATAGTACAAATATTAGCCTTACGTGCACATACTGAAAAAATAAATATCAGCGAAGAAGGAATGAATTATTTAGCTAAAATTGGTATTCAATCTTCCTTACGTTTTGCAATGTTACTATTAGAACCATCTAGAATATTAGCTAGTCTTGAAGGAAAATCAATAATTGATATAAAACATATTGAGCAAGCTGATGAATTGTTCATGGATGCCAAAACATCTGCACATAGAGTTGCTGAACAATCAAATAAATTTGTTAATTAAGTTATTTTCTATAACATTTTATGAAGTATTTTTTTTTTTTTTTTTTTTTTTTTTAATAATTTCCTTATATATCTATTTTTGTTCATATACATTTTATATATTTTTTTTTATTGGAATACTATTTTTTTTTTTTTTTCACATATATATATGTGGATTTATTTTTGTTGCAACCTTTCTCCTATTTATTTATAAAGTATTTTTTGTTCTCATCTTTTTTTTATTTCTTTTTTTTGATATTAGTTGTCTAATACAATTTTAATTTTATAAAAAATTGAAAATTTTTTTTTAATATACTTTAAAATATACAAAATTATTCTTTTTATTCACTTTTAATATTAATTTTTTAAACCTTTTACTCACGTATCATTTAAATCTTTCTTTTTTTAATCAGATTATTGCAAAATATAAGAAGTGAAAAAAAAAAAATGTTATGAAGATACTTAAATAAGGAAAATTTAGATAAAGTAAATTAGGTGAAGTTACCAAAATTTTAGATAAAATATTATATGAAAAAAGCAATTATTATGTATACTATTCATATCAGATACAAAATCAACATATATTAAACATATAAAATAACAAATAAATATTTTTATTTAAAGGAAAAACAAGACAACGAAAAAATTTAAAAGTATTAATTGAAGAAAATGTTGCAGTGATTGCTTTTATTATGAAAAAAGTTTAAGCGTTGAAGAAGTTTATGAATTACTAAAAATATAGATTTACTGACTTTATGCTACTCATTGTTTTAGAATATATATTATAGTTTTTATATTTCAAATTTTATTATATGTATATTAAATTCATAATAAGAAGATTATTTTTACAGAAAAATAGAAGAAATATTTTAAATATATTAAATTTATTATTATGTTGTTTTTTACAACAAAAATTAAACATGGAAAAAACTTAAATTATTTAAAATATAAAAAAATATGATAAAAGCAAATTAATTAAAATAAAAAAAGTATGAAAAATTTAAACTTATATCTAGGTGCATATGTGAAAAATTTAAATATTCTATGAATAGTTTATTCTCTATAAAAATTTAAATAATAAATTTTCTATAGTAAAAAAATAATCAAAAAAATAATGGCAGAAATATTTATATAATATAGTTATCCTATAAAAAAAGTATACAAGAAAAAATATGTAAAACACAAATAAATAATTTTATTTAATACAGAGTTAAACTGAAGACTATTTTTATACATATTAATAAATATTATCTTATTAATCTCTTAAGAAATTTTGATATTTAGAAAACATATTTTATAGAGATGCAATTGTTTTTACTTCTGGTTTAAAAGTAAATATAAAAATTTAAACAAATCATATTTTAAGTTAATTTGAACTTCTGTAAGTTTATAATTGTAATTGTGGCAATTAAATTTATTAGATTATTTATTTGAAAATATGTTTTATTACTTTTTCATTTTGTCTTTTTATTAAGTTTAATATATAAAGATATGAAATATACATTATTCACAAGTAATTTTTATTGCAATTAGGTAATTTTTATCATTTGATGTTGGGTCAAAAATAAATAAAAAAAAGTTTAAGAGATATAATTTAAAAAAAAAGTAAGAAAAAAAAAAATAATAATAATAAAAATAAACATCTTTGATAATTAATAATTAATATTTTATAAGTGAAAAACAAATATTGTGGATTATTAAAGTAATAAAAAGGAAAAACTTTTAGTTTTATATTATTTTATTTAAGTATATTACTTATAAGGACTACCCTTTATAACTTAAGATTTTTTTACGTAATTCAGGATATAATTTAATAATTTTAATAGATTTGCATGAATATTAATACAAAAAAAAAAAAAAAAAAAAAATAGATAAAATAATTAAAATATATTTTTATTTTAAAATCTGCTAAATTAGTTAATGGTATCATAAACATAAAATAAATATAATAGACACAAATATGAATGAGGCATAATCATTCTTCTTAAGGGAATTTTAAAATTAAAAATTATAAATGTATTAAAATAAAATGAAAAATGAAAAAAAAAAAAAAAACTCTATATTAATATTATTGAAGTTGTATCTTAAAATATTGAAATATAATTTTTTAATTATGATATTATCGAAAAGCAAAAAAATCTAAAAAAAAATAATATAATAAAAATTTGCAAAATGGAAAAATCTAAAAAATATTATTACAACATAATAATAGTTATAAATAAGAGATTTAGATAAAAGCATGGTAAAAAAGTGAATGCTTATGATTATAAATTTTTATGTAAGTACTAAGGTGTATTATATAACTATAAAGAAGATATATAATAATTTTAATCTTTTTTTTTTTTTAACTATTAATTGTATTTTTAGAAAAACATAAAAATTATTCTAAAAATTTTTTTGTTAAGGAGCATAAGAAATATGAGATAATTAAAAATAAAAATCTACTTTTTTCTTGTAGGTCTAAAACATTTTTTGTAAAATTTATTTCTTATGCTTTTACTTTGTGAATTCTTTATTTTTATTTTTCATATAATTAGGAATATTAAAATATTGAATATAAGATTAAGTATTAATAATAAAATAAGTAAAAAAAATAAAATGAAACAAAATAAGGAATGGAAAAAAATATTATAGTAAAAAGGAAAAGTGAGAAATAAACAATTTCAAATAATCTTTAATGATATATAATAAAAATTAATATAACAAAAAAAAAAAAAAAAATGTATTATTTTGTAAAAAATTATTAAAAGATTATGAAAATTAATAAAAAAAAAAAAAATATTATTAATAATGGGATTAACAAATAGTTAAACAAGGATTAACATAATGAAAAATTTTAAGTAAAAAGTATGGTGTTCCCTGAAATTTATTCTACCAAACATGAGCTATTTTAAGTGACAACATCGACGAAACCAAAAAAAATCCTGATGAAAGAAATCCAAAAATTGAACCGAAAACAAGTCGAGCACAGTACTTACTTCCATAATGACAATGTATTTTTGTGTAAAAATATGTCAATATAATAAAAGTCATTATGCAAGCAACAAACATGCACGCTGTACTTACTCCATAGGAAAAAACAAGATCTCTCGAATTCTTCATGCTGGGAATCAAAAAGGTAATTATAGTATAAATTGTAAAAGCACCTCCTAAAAATATAAAGCATCCAACCACTCCTGTTAATTCATTAAATGTTCCTGCTACTGCAAATAAAAGACTTGAAGCTATTAACCCAAATATGGAAGTGGCTATATCTCTACTTATTGCCATTTTGTTATTAATATTTTATTTCATTACAAGTTTAAATATTCTAAGTGAAATTTTAGTTGTTTAAAGAAGATTTATGCTGGTTTTAATTTTTCATGTAATTGTAAATATTCCTTTTTTGTTATTTTTTCATTTTATAATAAAATAATACTCCAATAATAAAATAGATGCTATTAAATTGAAAAAAAAAAAAAAAAAAAATGAAAATTAAAAATATCTAATATATTATATTAGAACCTTACATTAAATTAATTTATTTTTAAAAAATTATTATAAAGAAATTACTAAATGCTAATTTTCAATTTTTTTTTATGAACAAATAAAAAAAATGTAAATTTACAGCTATAAAAATTTTTTTTTTTTTTTTATTAACAACAATAAGAATGGATATATACATACAGCTATAAAATTACATTTTTTTTTTTTTTTTTTTTGCCTTCTTTAATAAAAAAAGACACACAAGTAAATATAATATTTAATTTTTTTTTTAAAGATATATTAGCCTTAATGCTTTTTCTCTTACAATTTTATGCTTTCATAAACTATTATTTATACAACACAAAATAACAAATAGTAAAATTTTTTATTTTTTATATAAACAATTTGTTATACATGTTATTTAAGAAAAAGATTTAAAATAGGAAAATGTCTCCAAAAGTTTTTTGGAAATAAGCTTTTTTTTTATTAAATTTTTAATAATAGGCTATTTATTATATGTTCATATATTTTTTTTGTTCTTTTTTTTAGACAATACTTAATAAAAATTTATTATAAATACTCTTTATAAAAAAAAAAAAATATATAAAAATATTTTATAATTTCTTAAGTTACATTAATCTTATAGATGAAATAAAATAGAAATGAAAAAATGATATATCTAAATATTTTTTCTTTTAAATTAAAAGGAAAAATACTTTTCCATATTTAAGAAGATATAATTTAAAATTCTATAGTTGTTAAAAAAACACCTATATTTATATGAAAAAATTTATACATATATGTACATATAGATTCTTACTAAAAATGTAAAAAAATAAAATAATACAATAAGGGTAAATAAAATATAACGTATAAAAAAATATGTAACATAAAATGATATGTAATTTAAACTATGCTGCATCCATCTCTTTATAATTATTATTTTATAATTTATTATTTTTTTTTTTTAATATCTTTTTAATATATAGTGATAATGAAATAATTTTCTATTGAATTTTTAAAATGATTATTATATAAAATGAAATTATAAAATCTCAAAAATATTTGAAAAAACAATATTAAAAAATATTAAATTAATGACCATACAATTTTTATCTTTGTTGAATACTTTGATTACTTTTTATAAAATAAAAAAGGAAAAAAGTTTGTATAATTTTTTAAAGTTATATTTAAATTTGATTTATAAAATTAAAAAATTAAATCATTACTATAATTAAAATTTAAAAATAAAAAATATGTTGGTTAAAAGAAACAAATAATAAAAAGTATAAATACAAAAGGAAAGTATTGTATATATATATATAATATATTAAATTCATAATAAATAAACATGAATATATATTCTTCTTTAAGGAGAAATAAATATAAAAGAGTGCATTCTCAATTAAAAAAAGGAATGAAAAAAAAAAAAAAAATAGAAATATTAAATTTACTCCCAGTTTGTAATCATGATTTATCTTGAATTTGCTGTTATCTTCTGTCTTAAAAGGAAGAAAAACTATAAATTACTTTTGCATCTAGTAAGCTCCTTCTTTGTCACACATGAATTTAAAGTGATCACTAAATAAAATAAATTTATTACATATTATATATATTAATATAATTTTAAAGAATATAAATGAAAAAAAAAACCTTATTTAATATATTTTATAAACGTATTTTTTTAAAATTCATTTACCCCATGAATTTATTCATAATGGTTTGCATCTGTATATTCACTCTAGCGAATTCCATATTCTTTAAAGGGAAAAAAAAAAATATATTATGTGATTAATAAGAATTATATGGAAAAATAAAAAGAATAATTTTTATTTATATATAGTAATTTCTTAAATATACAACAGCAATACAAAATATTTATGTAGAGTTTAGTATATACTTAAGAAATTTTTTTTTAATTAAAATAAATAAGAATCTAATATTAAATAATTATATTAAAATATATATATATATATATTTTTATTTTTAATTTATAATTTATACTGAAGTTAAGGCATATTGTTGAGTTGCAATAGATGCTTCCACATCTTCCGAAGTTAAATTGAACTCTTCTTCTACTTTTGCACTTACAATTGATTGAATTACTGCAAAAAAAAAAAAAAAAAATAAAATAAAATAAGTATATATAAATAAATAATATAAAATGATGAAAAATTATAAAAATGTAAATTAAATGAAAATGGGATATTTACAAAAAATAGAGACATTTTAATTAATTAAAAAATTCAAGCTTATATTATTTACCTAATGCTATTAATTTGGGGTCTAATTCATTTTTATTCGGAATTTTTTTAAATTCTGGGTCAATTTTGTATAATTCATTCAACATAAAATGATGTATTTCAATTATTTTATCAACACTCAATGTTGGTGCATCAGACATAGTAGCATAATAACTAAAACAATAAAAATAAAACATTAATGTATTTTTTATTATATAATTATAATGAAAAGATAAAAAAAAAAATTTATATACATTTATATTTATGTATATTTATTTTTTTGATTTTTCATTACTTTTCTTGGGATGACATAAGTTTTGAAACTGTTTCTTTTACTTCTAAAATAATAAGAAATATGTAATTTATTTATGGATATTATTTTTCATTTTTGCATGAAGAAAACAAAATAAAAAATAAAAGGAAAATGTGAAAAAAAAGAGAGGAACATATGAACAAAAAAAATATTATTTTATGTACCTGGATCAAAATGATAACTTTCAACAACTTTATCAAATTCTGGCATTTCGATTTGATATTTTCCTAATGGATCTATTGTATTATATGTTTTTGCTACATTATAAACAGCCATAAAACTAAGAAAAATTAAATAAATAAATATATATATATATATATTTATATATAAATATATATATATATGTATATAAATATTTATTTATTTTCTCACTCATAGTTATTATTTTTGGCAACTACTATAAGATCTTTTACTATATTCTTCATGTCTGATTGTAATTTTAGCATTTCATTTAATAATTGAAGTAAATCTTCTCTTGTCATCTATAAATATTATTATTGTTTTAATTTTATTTATATTTTAATATAATAACATATATAAAATTATTTCTAAATTTATTATCATATACATATATATATATTAATTTTATTTTTTACCGAATCTCCTTTTATTATTTTATTGGAATCTTTCGTTGTTTTATTGTCTTTTTTTTTTTTCTCATTTTTTTCATCATCCTTTTCATCATGATTTTCTTCATCTCTCATTAGCATATAAGTTAAAGCAACAACTGCTGCTGCTCCACCTTTAAAGTTTTATATATATAAAAATTAAAAATATGTTAAAATAAAAAAATTAATTATAAAAAATCTCATGTTTTTTTTTTTTTTTTTTATTTCTCTTTTTAAATTTGATATACATTTGATTTACACTTATACTTTTAAAATATAAAAACATATCATTTAATATCCATATAAAATATTAAAATCGTTAATTTTCATAAATATATAAAATAAAAAAATTAATAGCTAAAAAATTCTATATTTGTTTTTACCTGCTAAACTTAATGCTTTTTTCCAGTTCATTTTTTTTAAAATAATTTAAGAATTTAAGAAATAATTATCTTTTTATGTTCCTTTTAATAACATATAGATGTAAAATTAAATATATAAGTATTTTTTTTTTCTTTTTACTCTCTATATTATTAACTTTAAATACTTTGCTATTTTAAAAGCAATTTAATATAAAATATATAAAATAAGAAAAAATGTTTATTTAATTTTTATAAATTTAATTTTTTATTTTTTTTCTATTTATATAATAAATTTTTTTATAAATTATAGTATTAGTAGTTAAAGAAATTCTTTTTAAAAATATATAAATACAATAACATTAAAAAAAAATTGTTTCATTTTAATATTTTTTTTTTTTTTTTTTTTTTTTGAAAAAAAAAATGTATTCAAAAGAAAAAAAAAATTATTTAGAATAATATAAATTATAAAAAAAAAAAAAAAATAGCAATAATTTAAAATAAAAAAAAAAAAAAATTATTGAAATATTTATATATACAACTATACAAAAGAAAAAAATACTTATAACAAATACTTAAAGGAATAATGAATACATTATGAAGGTTTTAAAGAGAAAAAAATATATATTCTAGTAAAAAAAAAAAAAAAATAACATATGTAAAATTAGATAAAATAAAAAGAAATAGAATAATGTATAATAGAATAGAATAAAGCAAAAACTATGTTTAACACTTTTTAATTAATAAATAAATATAAAAAAAAGAAAATAATAAAATACTAGTAAATATATTCATACACATAATAAAAAAGTAATATTTTATTATTTTTATAGATAAATGATAACACATATTTTTATATAATTTTTTATAGTTTTTTATAAAATTCTAATGAAAAAAAATATAAAGACTAATAAACATTTACTCCCCTATAACTTTGTATGTAACATTTTTTTTAATTATATTTTTCAAAAAAAAAAAAAAAAATTTTTTGATAATATATATGAACATATAAGAAAAAAAAAGAAAGTTTAATTAAATATTATTTTTTATTTTTACTAATGAAATATATATATATAAAGGTAAAAAAAAAACTATTTATAAAAGCAAAAGATTAAAAATTTATCTCCGAAAAAGTAAAAAAATAAGTGATAAGGAAGATATATTAAAAACAAGTATGATAAATTTTTCATACATTAAAATGAAGAAGATTATTTTTATGCAAAAAAAAAAAAAAAAAAAAAAAAAAAAAATAAATTATTTAAGTATTAAGATATATATATAAATTATTCAAACATAAAAAAACTAAACAAAATATATATATATATATATATATATGTATTTGTACTTAAAATTTTATTTTATATTATCCCTTTATAACTGCTATTGGTTTTAAACGAAAGCATTTATTTGATATTCCTGCATCATGACAAGTTTGAACAACTTCTGAAACATTTTTATATGACTCTGGTGCTTCTTCCATGATTAATTTAGGAGAAGCTACCCTTATTGATATGTTTTCTTCTTTTAATTTATTAAGAACATCTATATAATTTAATGTATTTCGGCTTTTATTTCTACTTAATGCTCTACCTGCACCATGGCAAGTTGATCCAAAAGTAGCTTGCATTGCTTTTTCAGTTCCTGTTAATACATATGAATATGTACCCATTGTACCACCTATTAATATTGGTTGACCGCAATATTGATAATCTAAAGGTACTAATGGATGAAATGGAGGAAAAGCTCTTGTAGAACCTTTTCTATGAACTAATAAGTTTTTTACTTTTCCATCAACAAAATGTTCTTCAATTTTGGCTATATTATGAGAAACATCATATATCACATGCATATCTAAATCATCTGGAGACTGATTAAACATTTTTGAAAAAGTCTGTCTTGCTAGAAAAGTCATAGAAGACCTATTAATCCATGCAAAATTACAAGCAGAACCCATAGCTTTTAAATAATTTTGTCCTTCTTTTGAGTAAATAGGTGTACAAGCCAACTGTTTATCGATTACATTTATTTTATATTTGTTCATACTTTTTTCCATTTCTATTAATGCATCAGTGGCTATTTGATGTCCTAGTCCCCTGCTACCTGAATGAATCATAATACATACTTGGTTTTTTTTTTCAATACCCATTAATTTAGCACTTCTTTTATCATAAATCTCATCTACTATTTGAATTTCTGCATAATGATTTCCTGCTCCTAATGTTCCCATTTGAGTTATTCCTCTTTTTTTTGCTCTAACGGATACGTAATTGCTATCTGCATATAAACTTCTTCCATTATCTTCACAGTTTAATTTATCTTCAATCCATGAATATCCTTCCCTAACACACCAATCCATACCTAAACATAAAGCATCATCTAAATTCTCTTGATTACATAAAATAAAACCCTGTGAACCAACTCCTACAGGTATATGATTGAATAAAGATTGCGTTAATTCTTCTTGTTTCGGTTTTATGTCATCATAAAATAAATTAGTTCTAATTAAACGAACACCGCAATTTATATCAAATCCTACTCCTCCTGGAGATACTATTGCTTCTTCTTTGTTCATATCAAAAGCTGCTACATTCCCAATAGAGAAACCATAACCTGCATGAACGTCAGGTAATGCAATGGATGCTTTTACTATTCCTGGCAATGTAGACACATTAGCTATCTGCATTACTGCTGGTAAAAAAGTAGAACATCTATTTTGTTCATATGTTTTTATTTCATCATCTATTAATAATTTTAATCTTTCATTTACATAAATATGACCTTCTACATTCATATTTTGAACTAACCCTTTATTTATTTTATATAAATTTTTTTCCTTTGTTTTTTCAATATAACTAAACACATTGTCACCTCTTTTTTGTGACTTCATTTTCTCTCTAAAAATAAAGAATATATAAGAAAGAAATTAATATTAAAAATATAAATATATTTATATATGAGTATATGAATATATATATTAAAGTATATAATTAAATTAATATAAACAATATTAATTTAACATGCAATTTTATTAAATTGTAAAATCAGTATATATGTTTCAATTCAAAATAAATAATATTTTCTCACTATATTACACATTTATGAGCATACATTTTTTCACAAAAAAAAAAAAATAAAATAAAATAAAATAATGTTTGTTTATAAAATAATAAAATTTTCATAAAAACTTGTTCAGTTCTGCTATTTTTTTCCAATGTTTTACCTATTATTTAATTCATACGGTATATATTATTTGATATTTATTTTATTTCAATAAATTTGAAAATAAAATGTTATTTTAATTTTATTAATACTAAATTTTTTTTAATAGTTTCTAAGGTTTCCAAATTAAAATCCATATATTAATCATTTTTTTTTAAATTATAAATTTTATTTATATATATATATTTTTTTTTTTAATACATTTTTTTTTTTTTTTTTTTTTTCATTTTCAATTTATATAAAAATATTATTTTAATTTTATTGTATTTAAAGTTTTTCCTTTTTTTTTTATTCTTAAAATTTAGTTACTAAAATAAAATTTTATAAGAAATTTATTTAAATTATATATCTATAAAATATGTGAATAATATTAAAATATTTATATAGATGTACACTTGTGTTAAAAAAAAGTTTATTATCCCAATTAAAAAGTTAAAGTTTACAAGATAAAATTCGTAGAAGTAAAATTTAATTATCTTTAATCATGAATATTATTAATTACCGTAAGCTTAATATCATATAATGGTATTCTGAATTACATTTTCTTATGATTATTGTTTAGTTCATTTTTTTTTTAATAAAATTATTATGTATTATTTCCTTTTTAACTTCATAAATGTATTTAAAATGTTTAATTTTTTAACATTTACTAGTCTAACAAATGTTAGTTAACATTAATGCAGTTTATAGAAGCGTATAATTGAAAAAAGTTCTTTTCTTATAATGGAAACAGTGAATTTTATTTTCTGTTTATATCACAAAAACATTGAATAAGTTAATTTTTAAACATTGTTTTATTTAATATGGTCTCAAACGTTGCATGTTACATTTATTATTTTTATTTTAAATATTTTATTTATAAATTTAAATGTTAAATAAATATTTAATTATTAACAAATCTTTGTATTTTTTATATATCTTCATTAAAAGATAATTTTAGATTTTAAGAAATTAAAATTAAATATTAATTTGTACATTATAAAATTCATTAATTATTTATTTGAAAATGTATTATCTCTTTTTAATTTTTTTTTTTTATTATATTTCCTATTTATGAATAAAATATATTGAAAAAAATTTTTCCCATAACTTGAAAATAAGGAAAAATTATTTGTTTATTTTTATCAGTAAAATTATACGAAAATTTAAATTCTATACAGAAATAGATTTAAACTATTATGATAAATAAAAAGATTGTAAAAAAGATTAAACTACAAAAAAAAAAAAAAAAAAAAAAAAAATTATAATATATAATTTAAATTCTATTTATATTAATCATTAGTGTAATATTTTCCTAATAATTTTTTTTTTAATTTAATGATATATAACAATTTGGTCATATTTATTTATTTATTTTTTTTACATAAAAGATAAATGGTTATTTGATTTTTTCAGTTTATAGAGTTACAAAAAAAGAAAAAGAAAAAAATAAAAAGATAGCATGTTACATGCATTTAAACAAAATAAGAAAAAAGAGGCAATGAATACATAAAAATACATATAAAATAAAAAGAATTTATTTAAAAACAGAAAAATTCCTTTAAAATTTAAAAAAAAAAATTTTCTTATTAAAAATAAAATTTTTATATTACCAATTATAAATGCTTAAAAAGAACCTAAAAAAAAATATAGATAAAATTTATTATTGTTCATTAGATGAAATTAATAACTATTGAAAAAATTTAAAATTCTTCTAATATTAATATATATAATACTGTTTTCTTTTATTGTTTTTACTGTAATAAAATAATAAAAAAAATTAAATATTTCGTTTTGATAAACGTAAAAATAAATAATTGCATGTTCTAATATAAAAAAACAAAAATTGCTAGCCAGATTATTTTTAAATATATACGTTAATGAAATATAAAAAAAAAAGTAAAATTTTATAGAGTATTAATTTAAAATTTATATAGAAAATATATTATTTATAAAACAATAATTTTATTATATAATTTATTTTTTAATAGATTCTTATATTTTTTTATAATAAGTTTTTAATATTTTTTCATATTAATTCATCCCATTATAGGTTTTTTAAGTATTTTTGTATTCTTAATTTTTTATTATTTTTTAACTTTTTAGATATATAATTATTTCCGATTTTTTTCTTTTAATTTTAATTAATAAGTCATTACAAGTATTTATTTTATTTTATATTTGTGCATATATAGATAAAAATAAAATTTTTTTTTTTTTATGTAAGACAGTTTTTTAATATTTAATTTTTAAAGTAGATTTTAAAATTTATTTTTAATAGTAAAATATATAAATATAAATATGCTTGTTTTTTTTTCTCATTTAAATTAATTATTGTTTTATTAAAAGTAACATTAAAAATAAGTTTATATATAAATAAATATATATTTATAAAGTATTTACGTTACTAGATATGATTTACTTTTTGTTTTGTTTAATTAATTTACTGCATTTGGTTAAATGCGGATATAAAATAAGTCATAGTGGAAATATTGTTATTACAAATCAATTTAATAGTATTGTTGATATAAAATTATTAGGAGAAAATGATGCATTTAATTTAGAATTAAGTGACATTATTAGATTCCCAGTATACTGTATTCCTTTCAGTACTATTGATTATAATTCTAGTAGTAACCGAAAGTCAATATATTTTATTAAACATGAATTCAAAAATTTACTTTATTTATATAAGAATAATGTCAAAATAATGCCAATTATTTTTCCTGATCGAGATTATATTTCTGGATTAGCAGTGAATAATGGTTTTATTTTAATGATAACAGATATAGATTTGTATAAAATTGATACTGAAAAGAAAAAAATTAATCTTTTAAATGTTGAAGCAGGAAAATATACAGATATATATAAAAATAAAGAAATGTTTTTTTCTAGCGTAATTTCAGATAGTATTGAAAATCATTTCTTTATTATATGTTCTATAAGAGTAAATTATTACATTTTACATGTAAGATATGATGAAAAGAACGATTGTATAGAGATATTAAACGTAATAGATAATATAGATAACGAACCATTAAGAGTTGTGAATGGTGTAGCTGTGATTGAAAATCGTTTATATATAACTGAAAATGCAGAAAATATTATTAGATTTACTCTTGATAGAGAAAAAAATAATGCAATAACAGAAAATGTGTTTAGTTATACTAATGGAAATAAGATAGTTAGTTTAAGTGGCAATTCTAAATATGATAAAGAACTTAATGAAAATACGGATTATTTAATAGTTAATTCAAAAAAAATTTCTTCTGGTATGCCATCTTCTGAAAGTTGTTTAGATTTATTAAAAATAAATAAAAATAATACTGATTTGTTTAATATAGTAGATTTGTTTAGTAAGGATATTAATTTTTTTTACTTTAATATTTATGATGCTCATATATTTGTTGATGACCAGTATGAGCCAATGGAATTAACTAATGCCTTAAATGAAAAGGCTAATTTTTTAAAGTATAATAAAAAAAAAGAATTAGAAATAAAAAAGAAACAAGAATCCAATAAATATATATTAAAAATTATTTGGACAAATGATTATAATTGCACAATTAATAAAGGATTTGTAGATATAAGAAAATATAAAATAGAAAAAAATGGTGAAAAAAAACTACCATTTACTTATATAACAAATCAATATGCTTTTGCTCCCTATACTACATCTGTAAGTCACTGCTCAAAAAAAAATTCTATTTTTAAAGCTATATGTTATTATGATTCTGTAAACAATTATGTGAACATCTTAAATGAACCTAGAGAATATAACACTGAATTTACAGGAACTTATCATTTTGACGGATTTAAAGATAACATAGCATTTGATTACAAATCTATTTCAAACATACACGTATTAACATATCCATTTAATAATACAGTATATGTGTATTTTGACAAAAAATATATAGAAATCAATTTGCCACAACCATTTGGTATTTCTATTGACAAAAGTAATAGTTTTGATGGAAAAGTTATCATATATGTTACAGGAAATGATGACAAAAATAATTACGTAAATAAATGTGTTATAAGTAAATTAGAAAAAGAATATGAATGTTATAATGTTTTTAATAAAAAAAAAAAATATAATGAATTATTTCAATATATATCCTATATCACAATTAAATCTGAAGGAGAAGAGTTAACATATGTATATGTAACAAATAATAAAAAAACTATATATAGACTACATAAACAAGATAAAAAATGGATATTTAATACATGGTTTCAATTAGATGATCCATCACAACGTATTGGCCCAATATCAACTTCATTAAATTACTTTTACGTAACAAAAAAAGCACTAAAAAGTTTGATTGCAACATATCCAGATTCAAAAATGTTATTAAAAATAAAGAATGCTAAAAAAGAAGATTTATATATAACGGATGATAAATATATCTTTTTAACTGCCTCTCATACTGTTATATTTTGCGCTAATAATGATTCATATGGACGTAATAGTGGGTCAACTATTCATTTTTATGCTTCCATATTAAAAGAGAAATATTACCAATCTTTTGGTGTAAATAGTATCGTGTTTAATATATCAAATGATTCTAAATTTAATTATTATTTGAATTAATAATTTAATAAATATTTTATATTTGTAAAACTTACGAAAATAGAACATATATATATATATTTTATTTATTTTTTTTTTTTTAATTCAATAAATTATAATATTAATATATGTACATATTTATTACTGTAAAATTATTTATAAAAATTGAAAATATTGCCTTTTGTTTCATTTGATATAAATCATTATATTTGTATATTTACACAACCTTTTTCATTTTTTATTAATACACTAAAATAATTAAACTATATTTGGAATTTTATTTTTATTTATTTAATTTTATTATATTTGTGATTTAAGTTCCAATAATTTCTCATAAAATATTTATACAAATTATATCGTAAAAAAAATATATTTTTTTTTTTAACAATTTATTTTTATTATATGTACATGAATATATTTAAATTTACATCTAGCATATAAATGTTTTTTTGAGTATTTGTTTATTTTTAAATTATATAATTAATATCTAACTTTTAAAAATATAATTATTCTCTATATTTTTATTTAAAATTTTAATATAGATTATTTTATTATTTAATATATTATGATTTTTTTTTTTTTTTTTTTTATTAGTTTTCCTTAGTTATTTTTAATATAAAGGTTTATATAAATTCATTTTTTTATTAAGTATATTTTTTATTTATACCTTTAAAATAAATTATTTTTTTCATTATAAAATTTTTCTATTTATTTTCTCATACTAATATTTAATAATCTTTTAAACTTTAGAAATGATAGTTTACTTAAAAATTTTAAAATGTCTTTTTTATTAATCTGAATCTATATCGCTTAAAGGATCATTTTTCCATGCACTAATTAAAATCTTTTTGAATTCTTCTTTATCAATTACCTTATCGTTATTTTTATCAGCATATTCAATCATATTATTTAATTCATTATCACTGATATTCTCACCTTTAATAAATTAAAAATAGTTAAATAATGCATATTTCAAAAAAGAATTTTAAATATAAAACATATTTTAAATTATATAATTTCGTATAGTTTTTTAATTAAATTATTTATATATTATATATATTTATTTATATATTTAATACCTATATCCTCACAAACTTTTTTTAAAGAATGTAATGTGATTTTACCTAAAATGAAAAACATAAAATTCTTTACTTTTTTAATATATTTTTTCTCTTAAATATAAGAAAGAAATATATATATATATATATATATATATATATATATATATATATATATATATAATATAGACCATTCATTTTTTTTTTTAAATATTTAATTTTTAATATTTTTAACATTTATAATAGTTACAAATATAAATCTATTAAATGGAAAAATATAAAAAAATTAACCAGTGTCATTAGGATCAAATAAAGAAAATATTTGTTCTATTTCTTCATCATTATATCTTTTATGAATATTTTGTGAAGCTACATGAAAAAATTCATCAAAATTTAATTTATCATCAGTACTTTTCTTTATTTGCAAAAATAAATTTTTTACTTCCTCTTTTTTGAAATTCAAGCCTAATGATTTTAAAGCAAAATAAAATTCTCTTATATCAATGTAACCACATTTATTTGTATCAAATAAAGAAAAGCATTCACAAATTTCTTTTTCAATGTCTTCATTAATAGTAAATTCTTTGTTATTTTCAATTATCATTATGTTTTATAAAAGATTATATGTATAAATCATTTCGCTTGTGTTTTTTTATCTTTTAGTAATTCAAAATATATTATGTATAATTTGAAATTTTATTTTTAAATATATATACATAAATAAACAAAAAAAGAAAATTACTTTTTAAATAAAGCATTAGAGTAAAAAATAATTTTTCTTAAAATACGCACACAAAAAAAAAAAAATTTTTTTCTTTATTGCCATTGTTATCATTTAATAAAATACATTATTCTGGTATAAATAATTTACATGGATTTTATTTTTTATATTGTTTATGAAATATATAATATATTTCTTTCTTGTAATATATTAAAATGGGAAAATTATCTGAGATAATAATATATAAAATAAAAAAAAAAAAGAGCGAGATAAGAAATCATAAATGTTGAATATTATACTTTAGAATAATAATGAACAAAAATATTAAATATAAAAAATGTGTAATTCTTAAAATTATGATAAAAGGTGAAAAACTAAAAAAAATTTATTTTTCACATAGGAGAATTAAAAAAAGTATACTGCAAAGTGATATATATGGATTTATATTTTTTTTTTTTTTATATATTTTTAATTTATTTTTCTTTTTTTTCTCTAAAGTAGGAGCTTATCCTTCAACTATTATAATTCTTAATAGAAAACAATTATTTTGTTAATAATATTTTTTGTGAAATATTATTTGTTCTAATTTAAATTATCCTACGTTAAAATATTTTATGTATTATTATCTTAAACATACTATATTATCATTTTTAAAAATAGTAAACTATATATAACTTCGATTAATTGTTACTAAAACAACTTTATTTTAAAATTTTATTTTATTTATATTATTATGTTATTATATTTTATATGATTTTCTTGTATAAATAAGATTTAAGATATATTAATTTTGATAACATAATATTTTATAGAAAAAATTTTTATAATAAAATATGTATGTTTCCTATATGTTTGTAGGTGTTTAGGCATTAAAAAAAAAAAAAAAATATTCATTTATTATATAAAAAGGAAAAAATCAGATTAAAATTTTATGTATGTATTTATTTATATGTATATGTATTTTTTTAAATATATTTCTTCATTTTTTTTTTTTTTTTTTTTTGTATTATAAAAAGTGATTTAAGTGTATGAGGTTATTGTCATTTTTTTTTTTTTTCTTTTGGTATCTTCACGGACTTACATCACAAAAAAAAATAAAAAATATATTAAATAAAAAATAAAGAATGTAATGAAAATATAAACATAAAATGAAATACTACAAAGTAAATAATTAACATTAAGGGATTATTTGTAAAAAATAAAAAATAAAAATAATATATAAAATGTTCAAAAAAAATTTATATAATATTTGAAAAAAAAAGAAAAAAAAATTTATTTTATTAAAAGGTATAAAACACAATAACATAAATAAATATTATAATTTCATTTTTTTTTTTTTTTTCAGAAGTATTTAAGTTTTTTATATAAATTAATTTATCTTTTTTTTTTTTTATATTAAAATTAAAAATATATAAATTTCCAATTAAGAGGAAAGAAAAGATAATAACTTAATAATTTTTTTAATAAAAATGGTAATATTAAAAATAAATTAATTTTGTATTAATTATAGAAGTTGCTCTTATAATGATTTTTTTTGTTTTTATTTATTATATTTAATAGTATATATTTGTTTCTACAAAAGTTTTAAAATATTGATAAATTATTTATATAAATTAAAATATATTATGATATTTAATACTTAAATATTTATATAACTTTTATGATAAACTTTTACATATATATATATATATATATATACTACTTACCTATAAGTATATAAATGTTTATGTAATATATTATGAAGAATTAATTTCTCTAAAAATATGCAATCTTATTAATTTTTATAATATATATATATATATTTTATTTTTTTTTTTTTTTTTTTGATGTTTAAAGGTTGTATATTTATATATAATGATAAATAATTTAAAAATTTGTAATAAATATAAAATTTTTATTTATTTTATAGGGTAAAGGAATAAAAAAACATTTAAAACGAGTAAATGCTCCATCTCACTGGATGTTGAACAAAATGGGAGGTCAATATGCTCCCAAAACTAGTAGTGGACCACATAAGCTAATTGAAAGTATACCCTTAGTTATTCTGTTAAGAAATAGATTAAAATATGCTTTAACTTTTGATGAAGTAAAATTGATATTAATTCAGAAAATTGTCAAAGTTGATAATAAAATAAGAACTGATTGCACATTTCCTGTTGGTTTAATGGATGTCATTCATATAACAAAATCTAATGAATATTTTAGATTATTATATGATGTGAAAGGAAGATTTGTTCCACATAGAATTACAAAAGAAGAAAGTCAATATAAATTATGCAAAGTGAAAAAAATAATTTTAAGAAAAGGAAGATTGCCTATTGCTATTACTCATGATGGTAGAAGTATACCATATATACATCCAGAAATTAAAGTAAATGATACTATTAGGTTAGACTTAGAAACAGGAAAAGTTTTAGAGTTCCTAAAATTTCAAGTTGGTAGTTTGGTTATGGTAACAGGTGGTCACAGTGTTGGAAGAGTTGGTGTTATTTCATCTATAGATAAAAACATAGGTACCTATGATATTATTCATGTAAAAGATTCAAGAAATAAAGTATTTGCTACTCGATTAAGTAACGTTTTTGTTATTGGAGATAATACAAAACCATATATTAGTTTACCAAGAGAAAAAGGTATAAAATTAGATATTATTGAAGAAAGAAGAAACAGATTAAAGGCATTAAATAATTAATTGTAAAATGTTATCAAAAGAAAAAAAAAAAAAAAAAAAAAAAATGTACTACGTGTTATTTAGACAAACTTTAAACATATATATATATACGTATATATGTGAATTATTAATAATTTTCATGAAATATCATTAATATATATTTATAATTTTATCTAAAACTTTAAAAGAAAAAAAAAGATAGAGAAATTAATGATGAAAAATACTTTTTATTTTATTTTAAACATTTTTGTTTTTATTTAAATGTAAAATTCAACTTTTTAAAAACTTTATATTTTGTTTTTCGTTTTTTTTACCTCTAATTTAAAAATTTAATAAAGAAATAAAAAGGTGCATATATAACAATATTAACAACTAAATCTTTTCTATAAATCATTTTTTTCTTTTTACTCTTTTCCTTTTTTTTTTTTTTTTTTTATTGATTAACTCTTTGCTATTTCAGAAAATAATCGACAAAGAAAATATATATATATAAAAGAAAATTATTTTTTCTTCACATTTGCTCTTTAACGACTTTTTTTTTTTTTTTTTTTTTTTTTTTTTTTTTTTTTTTTTTTTTTTTTAAATTGTATTTTTTTCTTAGAAATTTGTTATTTAATATTTTTTAATATTGGAATAAAAATGAAAAAATAACATAAAGAATATAATTGTACTATATATGTGTATATTATAATAATTTTTAATTTTTCATAATTTGATCTATGTAAATTTTATGAAGAAATAAAAAAAATAATTTTTTTCAAATTTATTGGATATTACTACAATAAAAAAATATATAAAAAAGTTAAATGTCATGCACATAAAATTCTGAATAAATTATAAATACCTTTTTTTATGTTTAGCATTTTTGATGTCAAAGTATTGTTGATATAATTATAAAGTTTACATAAAGTTAAATAATATAGTATATATAATTTATGAAGGAGTTAAAAAATTTCTTTATAAATATATATATATATATATTTGTTTAAATATATTTTATGTTGTATTCTTATTTTTATATTTATTTTTTGTGTTATAATTATAATAAAATAAGTGCATTAAATAACTTGTATTTCTTCTATGATTTAAAAATTCTTAAGACCACTAAAATATGATATATAGTATATAATATTTAGGTATATATTTTATTTTATATTTTGTTTAAACAAATTTTACTTTTTTCTTGTTTCAATATATAAATAAGCAAATGCACCATTTTTCCTATTTAAGCTACCTGAAAATATTTAAGTTCTATGTTTTTCTAAAAAATGAATAATTTTTCGAATTTTTTTATTTTAATGCTCTACTTTTTATTATTTATTTTATGCTCGTCAACGAAAAGTGGCAAGTTAATTAACGTCACTTACATAAATGATAACAATTTAAAGAGTGAATTAGATGATTTTCAATATATATATATAAACGATAGTGATGATTATTATAAAATAAAAAGTTCCAATATAGGAGAAATTAAACTAAAAGATGAAATATACTTTTATAAGAGTTACACAAAAGTAATTAACTATTTTAAATATGGTATACCAGTTAACGTACATTTTATTTTTGAATATAATGATGGTGATTTAATTTTATTAAATAGTGATAAAAAAGGAGTTATATGTAAAATTAGCGACTTATATTATAGTGAAGCTGGTGTAAAATATTTAGATAAAGGAAATGAGTTATATGTAAAAAATGAAACATTTAATATAAAAAGTCATTCTAATTATAATAATGATAAAATAAACAGTGTAGCCTTATGTGAAATAAAAAATGACACCTTTTTACCAACTAAATACTTGTGTTATCCATCATTTAATATAGGATTGAATGCTACTTTTATAAAAAATGAAGAATTTAAAATTCTATTAGAATTACTAAATTCATACATGAATGAGGACAATTCTTATTTACTTAAGAAAACATCGGATTATTTTAAAAACTTATTTAAAGTTGACTTGGAGAATATTAACTTTGTGTATTACATTTTTAATAAAACAATACTTTGCAATTTACAAAATTTTTTACCAAGTAATATAAAAGATTACGAAAAAGATGAAGAAATACAACATAAATTACAATTATATAATGATGAATATATTTCTAATAATAATAGTTATATGTTCAATAATATGTCAGATTATAAAAAAATAGATGATAAGTTTATTATATGGAGGCATAAAAATAAAAATTTAATTGAAAAAAATTTGGAAAAATGCAATACATTTTTTTTCAATCAAAGTGAATATATATATAACTACAAAAATCTACAGAATGTTTATGAAGGCTCATTATATAAGAATATAAATTTACTAAAAAGTACATATTTACCGGAAATAAAAAGGATTTCTTCTATTAAAGAATACACTGCATTTTTTTATAACAATAATAATTATGTTGTAATATTAAAAAATTATGAGCTCCATTTATATTTTCAATTAAAAAACATAGTAGATATAGTATTATTCCAAGATGGTTATCACGAATTAAGTTTTTACTATATCAGCTTGGATATCGATAAGAAAGTAATGTATTTATATAGATGCAATTTAAATTCGGATGGTGTAAATTGTGAAGAAATATCTTTTATTCCTTATGAGAATAATATGCAGGAATCAGCTATTTATTTATCTACTGTTCAAATAAAGGATATTTCAGCTGTTTTTATTAGCACAAAAACGAAGATATGGAAGATATATAAAAATAAAAACAATGTATATAAAAGAAGAATAATAGATTCTATAAAAAATGTTGATATGGAATATTATGGTCATATAAATTGTTATATAGTGGAAATAGTTTATCAGAAAAAACTGTTTTATAAATACATTAGTAGTAAACCTAAAAATGTAGAAAAAATAAGTGGTTGTTCATACTTAAAGCATTTCACAAATATTGAAAATTCGTTACTTATATCATTTATAGAAAATAAGCATTTTATACAACACACATACCATATAGTAAAAGATAAGAAGTTCGTTATTTCATCAGGAACTACAAATTTAACAATAAAAGTAAATGAAATATCAGATTTAATCATGATACTCATTATGATTCTTTGTTTACTTTTAACTATTTGTGCAGTTCTTAAAATTATATCATTTAGGTAATTATAAAAAGATATTATGTTATTTAATATTAATGTCTTTTTTTTTTTTTTTTTTTTTTTTTTTTTTTTAAATCATTGTATACAAATTTACTTTAAAAAAAACATATAATTACAATAGTATATTATACATTTTTTCAAAATTATATTTAATACTTTATATTTTATTATATTTATTTTATTTCTTTTTTTTTTTTTATAGTAAAGCAAAATTAGGAAAAATGAAGCATTATATTTTTGATGACGATGCTAGAACTTGTGCATCATCTGTGGGGAAATGATAATTTTTTTTACGAATCTTTTTATTCATTAGTATATGTGAGAATCTTATTTAAACACACACACTGTTTGTTCATTTTTTGGGTTTATTATGTATGATTATATATTATCTGTGTTTTTATTTTTTTTTTTTAGTAATTTTACTTTTTTGTGTATTTAATTTCTTATATTGTAATTTTATGAATTTAATATTCATATAAAAAGAAAGAAAAAGAAAATAATAGAATTATCTTTTTCTTGAATGCTCGTTTTAATATAAAAAAAAAAAAAAAAAAAAAAAAAAATGTGTAGTATTACATTTCATTAGACTTATTTGCTTTAATTTGTTTAACATGATTATTTGAAATTCATTAGTATTGTTTTATAAAATACATTATTTATAATTTTATTAATATACATTTTTTATTTTATTCTCAATTATACTTTTTATAATTTTCCAAGATATTTATTATTATTTAATAATTGAAATTGATAAATATATATTATTATGAGAATTCACTTATTTAATATATATGTTATTTTTTATTTTTTTTTTTTTTATTTTCCATTTTTTTTCATCCATAGGTGAAATGTTTTTAATAAAATTTATTTAATTTTATATTTTTTTTTTAAATAAGATTTTACATTAATACTAAACACAAAATTGATTAAAAAAAGAGGAAGTAATTTTGAAGTAATTTTTTTTACATTTTTTTCAATTAATAAACTTTATATATTACTCAAAAGGGAATAAATAAAATGAGATTAAATAAAATTTACTGAAATGCATTATAATAAAATAAAATTCATATAAATAATAGATAATTTTTAATACTAATTTATTCAATTATTTTAATTAAAATATGTTAATATTATTAATGAAATATTGATTAAAGAATATTTTTCATTATAATATATATATGTATTAATATATCTATTAAATTATTAAAAATGAAGTTGTCTCATGTAATTAAATGTGACAAATGTTATTTTTCAAAAGATGGTCTATTTTTACTTCATATAGTAGAAAATAAAATATTTTTAACTGAATTAAATACTTTTGAAATATGCAGGATTTATGTGAGTAGCTATAAGATTGATAATGTAGATTTTTCAAATGATAATATTCATTTTTTAGCTTTAATAAAAAATAAAGGATGTGTATATATATATTCATTATATAAAGAAAATATTATTAAGAAAATAGAAGACTTTTGTCAAACATATTTAGATTCGATTTTTCTTTATAAAGACAGCAATATATGTGTATACAAATATGAAAAAGTAATATAAAAATATTTATAACCATTTCCTTTTTTAGCTATAAAAAAAAAAAAAAAAAAAAAAAAAAAAAAAAAGAGTATTACTAAGTCATTATTATCTTATGTATACTATCATCCTACTATTCTAATACATTTTCACTACTTAAGTACAACTTAGTTTGTACTATATTAATACATAATTATTACTTCATTAAAGCATATTTATAATTTTATTACTTTTTATATTTTATTATTGTAATTTCAATAAATTAGAAATGCTTCAGTATATATGACATAAATAATGTTGAAGAATCTTTAGTAAATATTGAAAATGCAAAATTTAAAAAAAGTGGATATTGTTCAAACGACGAAGGTAGCATATTTGCTTGCATAACACAAAATAATAATAAAATTGAAATATCATTAATATCTTTACTAAATTACAACGTTATAAATAATATATCATGTAATAACTTGAATCCCAATAAAATTTTCTTTACAAAAGAAAATAACATAATAGCATTTAACAATAAAAAAAAATCATTACATATGTATAAAACAAATGGAGAATTACTATTTATATATACATATAAATGTGAATTGCCATGTAAAAATAATGAAGAAAAAAAAAAAATTAATTGATAAAATAAATGGAAAAATATATATGATATTGTTAAAAATACTTTAATATTTTATTTTTTTGACCAAATGTATATACAATATAAAACTTAAAATTGTAGGTATAAATGTTGTAGCTAAAAATGAAATAAAAAATATTTTATCAGTAGGATTTGAAAATGGAGTTGTAATAAGAATTAATAAAAAATGTTATTTCTTGTTTTATATTATAACACAAAAAATAATACTTTTTTTTCTAGGTTAAGATATTAAGCTTGAGGGATTTTAAGGAAATTGAAACTTTGTTGTTAGATGATATAATTATAATGAATCAAAAATTAGTAAATATTAAATTTTAAATTATTATAAAAATTCACAAAATATTAATATTTATAATATTTATTTTTATAAAATTTAAAAAATTATACTAAAATAAAACTTTTTTACATTTCAGAAAATTTACAAGGAAAATATTTCTAATAAAGACACACTAAGTAGTATTCTTTCAAAAGAGTTAAAATATATGTATATTTATACATTAATAAAAACAAACATATATGTATAATTAAAATAATATACTTCATTAAAATACTTCGAAAAGTTACTTATATAAGAACTAATTTTTTGAGTTTTTTATATTTGCTTTCTTTTACATATATAAAAATAAAAAAAGGGATTATGTATTTTATTGAATCGCTTATACTTCCATTTTTTTTTTTGTTTTAGATCTAACATATCTTCTCACCAAAATAATAAAGAAAAATTTGCTTATTATAGCAATAGTATAAATAATGAAAATAAAAAAATAGTTTTTTTTTTTTTTTATTTGCTTCATAAAATTTTAATTATTTATTATTAAATAGTTTCAGAAGGAATAAAAGAGGGAGAATACAAATTAAAACATGGAAAGGTTACTTTAAATGGCAATTCCTTTTTTATATTTACACTTTGTGAAAATATATCAAGATTAATTTATATATTTTATATAGTCATAATTAAATTCTATAAAAAATATTTCAATTAGTATATGTACATTAAAATACATTTTTCTTTTTAAAGGAAAAATCTAATGAATACGTTAAAAAAAATTTTTATAACAAAATATCAAAAATAGGAATAACTGCTTTATCATTTAGTATATGTGGGAACTATTTAGCAGTTATAAATGGTAAATAAATAGAATTTTAAATGTAATAATAGAAATAAATTTTATATTTTTAATAGTTATAATAAATAAAAAATTATATATTTATATACATTTTGTAGAAAATCATAGTAATGTAGTGCGAATATATGAAATGGAAAATCATTCATGCATAGCTATATTAGAACAAAAAAAATTAGTGACAAGTATGTACTGGGATAATATATTATATAAAGCAAGGTTAAAATATATATTATTTTAATTTATAAGAAAACTTAATATATGATGTTTTATATGAAAAATGTGACAGCTACTTTATCATTATTTTGCAGGCTTTTAATTTGCACAAATACGTCACATTTATTTGTGTGGTTACCAGATGAATGTGCTGTGCTTGATATGCCAAGAGGTAAAAAAAAAAATATATATAAATGTATCTCTAGATTTTTCAATATCATTATCCTTTTTTCTTTTTTCCCAGGTTTTATATGTAGAGACGCAAAATGGAATTGTTATGGAACTGTATTATTAGCTAAAAACGACGTAAGTTTATAAATTAATACATGTATAACTTATAACATGAATATATTTGACCAATAATTTCTTACAGGAAAAATTAATGGTATTTTGCCCAAAAGAAAACTATTGCTAAAAAATTGTTATATTTTCTTATTGCAATAATTCACATGAATTATTTATATGCAATTATATATATTACGTTACCATAATATAAAAATCATATTATGCTTAAAAAAAAAAACCCTTTCAATATAAATAGAACTATTTTTTTTTAACATATGATAAAAGTATTAAAATACATATAAATTACACACAAAAGAGAAAGTTAAAACTCCACTAAAGAATAAGCTTCTATCTATAGAATTACTCAGATTTAGTTTAAAAAAAAATACATTCCTAATAGTTTATAAATTAATCTGCAAACGTTGTACTCTTTATATAAAATGGTTTTTATAAAGAAAGATGAAAAGAATGGCTTCTAGTGAAGCCTTGAAATTGTTTTAAGTAGAATTAAACTTAAAAAAAAAATATAAAAAAAAAAAGCAATAAAAAATGTGAATGAAAAAATATGATAAACATTATAAATTATTGGTTAGAAAAAAAAATATGTATGAATAAACTTTTCTCTTAAAGTGAAAAACAAATAAAACAAATAGAATGAAAAGAAATAACAAATACTTTTATTCTTTAAAACTAAAATTACATATTGCCTAAAGTATATATTTTATTATTTCTTCCATATTCTTTTTATATATATTGTTTTAATTTTATAAAATATGCTCCACTTATATATGTACAATATTAGAACATATTAATGAGTATATAAAAAGGTGTTTTCGTATTATACATGAAGGTGATGTTAAAAAAAAAAAAAAATGAAAAAGAAAAAAAAAAAGAACTTCAATTAAAAAGTATTTTTTTTTCTTTATATTCATTTTTTTTCTTATATATTATTCTTCTCTTTATACTTATTAGCTTATTTCTTTGGTAACTTCACTTTTTTTTTCTTTTTTTCTTTTTTTTCTTTTTTTTTTTTTTTTTTTTTTTTTTTTTTTTTTTTTTTTTTTTTTTTTTTTTTTAATCTTTTATTTATGGAGTTCTGTGTAAAAATACAAAAAAATTTACTTTGAAGTAAATTTTGTAACAGCTTTTGTTCCTTCTGAAACTGCATGTTTTGCTAATTCTCCTGGTAAAACTAATCTTATTGCTGTTTGAATTTCACGTGATGATAATGTGTCTCTTCTAGTATATTTACATAATCTTGATGCTTCAGTTGCTATTTTTTCAAATGTGTCAACAAGAAATGAATTCATAATATTCATTGATCTTCTTGAAATACCTGTATCTGGATGAACTTGTTTCAAAACTTTAAAGATGTATAGCCCATAGCTGTCATATCTAGACTTCTTTCTTTTTTTTTTGGCATCTGGAGCAGCTGTTGATGATTTTTTGGCTTTTACTGGTTTTTTTGATACCATTGTGATAAAAAAAAAAAAAAATTATTTAAAATGTTATAAATAAAAAAAAAAAAAGTGAATATAAGTTTTTAAGTGAAGAAATTGCTGGATTTTTTAAAATATATTTATTTATAAATTTTCTTTTCTAATGCTTAAAATATTATAATTAAAATATAATTTTTATAAATGTTTTTTTTTAAATATGCAAAAAAAAAAAAAAAAAAAAATTATAAATTTTTAATTTAATTTACATTGTACATATGTCATTTTTTTTTTTTTTTTATCCGATATTTTTTTTATGCACATGCACATATAAAAAATCGCCTCCGTATATTTCGCTGTATATATATACATATAATACATATGCGCACACACGAAATGTATATAAAACATTAATATTATGATACATCAACTAATTTATATATTATTTTTAAAAAAGTCATATATATATATATTGATACATATTTTTATGTTGAAATCACTTGTATGATTTTTTTTTAATTAATTTATGCATGATGCAACGTAAAATATTATTTGTGTGCATGTGATTATATTCAATAATTCATTATGGAAAAAAAATATCAAATTATATTTTTATATGTAGTATATTTTTATTTTTTTGTCAGGCTGACCATTTTGTTCAAAAATGAACTATAACTCTAATAATGATATATATATATATATATATATATATATATATATATATATATATATATAAGATTTATTCAAAATATATATTTTAAATAGCAAAATATATATAAGAGATCAAATAAATAATATTGTATTTTTATAATTTGACATTTGGAAAAAAAAAAAAAAAAAAAAAAATTAAAATATATTTAAACGAAATAAATTTTAAATAATAAAAAATGAATAATATATGAACGTAAAATTTTTAAAAATTCTCTTAATAATTTATTAAATGATAATTTTCAATAACTTCCATGTTTTCAATAGAACAAAAAACATAATTTATTACGAAGGGTAATACATTTATCCTATTAAAAACTCCTTATAATTATTTTTTGTAACAGCATACTTAAGAATATTTTTGACATTTTTATTTTTTTTATTTTTGACATTATTTGGAATTGTACAGATGTGTAATTAAAAATAAAAAAATTAATTGCCTTTTGTATTTATTTAACTGAATAGTTTTTCCTTTCTTTTTTATATTTTTTCATAAAAACATTTTTATATATTCAAAATTTACATCCTTATACGTAAAAGGAGTAAATATTATTATGTATTGAAAACTTTATCTAAAAAGAATATTCTTTTACTTTAAGCAATTTATATTATTCTTTTAAGAATAACTATTAACAATTTAAACTTTTTACTTATTTGGAATTTTTATTACAATACAAAAACATTTTAATGAATACATATGTTTTTAGTTAATTATATTATTTAAAACAAAATAACAAGGAAAAGAATAATTCAACAATAATTAAAATCAGGAGAAAAATATAATTTTTTTTTATAAATATGTATTTTGCGTATTTACCAAAGATAACATAATTTGTTACTGATGATGAATTAAAGAAATTTTATTTATAAATATATAATAATTTAATTAAAAAGAATAAATTATATTTGTGTGATTCTTTTTTTCTCAAGAAATAAGATAAAATACGTATTTTATTCATTCTATAAATTTTTTTTTTTTTTTTATGAAATGTTCAGTTTTAATAAAATCTTTTACATTTATATATATACCTTTTTTTAAATTTTAATATCATAAAACTTTATTAGGATACTTAATATAAGATTTTGCTTCAAATTATTTTAAAATTGTTATTTAAAAAATAAAAACTCTAAAATAACTTTTCTCATTTTTAATAAAAATTTATAAGGTTCATTACTTTATGGATAGAAATGCATGAATAGTAGTATTAAGAATTTCATAAATATATATATATTTTTTTATATATATAAAAATTTTTCCATAAAATGTATTTTTGTAGTTTGATTTTTTTCATATTTTTATTTTGCATAAAGTATTTGCATTTGCATACTATGATATTTTATTTTATATCATTTCGGGACTTTTTTTTTTTATTTAATTGCATGATATCGCACAAAATGGTTAACATGTAAAAAAGCACATATCATATATATATGATGAGGGTCTTTGTGTATATATATTTAAAAACACAATTGATTGCATTTAAGAATTACATGCTTTTTAAACTAGTAAAATATATATAAATTTCCTTTTAAATGACTTGAAAAAAATACATATACTCTTTATATACACATTTAAAGTTAAAAATAAAGGTATATATGTAATTATTTAAATTTAAAATATATATATAAAAAAGCCATTTGCATAATCGACTCAACTGATGACAAAAAAAAAAAAAAAAAAAAAAAAAAAAAAAAAAAAAAAAAAAATGCTTATATAAAATTGCCCTTTGAAAAAAAAAAAAAAAAAAAAAAAAAAAAAAAAATTTTGACCATTTCTTTTTTTAAAAAAAAAAATATTCCCCAAAAAATTTAAAAAAAAAAAAAAATTTTCCAAATTTATTTTTTTTTTAAAAAAAATTCCTAAACTTTTAATGGTTTTAATCCAAAAATTTTTTTTTTTAAAAAAAAAATTTCCCTTTTTAATTTTAATAAAAAAAAAAAAACCAAAATTTCCGGGAAAAGGTAGGGGAGAAAAAGGTTTGGAAAAAGGGGGCCCAAAAAAACTTAAAAAATTTTTAAAAAAAAACTTCCAGGGTTTAAAAAAAAAAAAAAAAAAAAAAAAAAAAAAAAAAAATATGAACAATTCATTTTTTAAAAAAAAAAATAATACTCAAAAAAATTAAAAAAAAAAAAAAAATTTACGAAATTAATTTTATTTTTAACAAGATTTCTTAACTTTTTATTGTTTTTATTCAATAATTTTTTTTTTTTAGAATATTATTTTCCTTTTTTATTTTTATTATATATAAATAATCAAAAATGTCAGGAAGAGGTAAGGGAGGAAAAGGATTGGGAAAAGGAGGCGCAAAGAGACATAGAAAAATTTTAAGAGATAACATTCAAGGTATTACAAAACCAGCAATCAGACGTTTAGCAAGAAGAGGTGGAGTAAAGCGTATTTCTGGTTTAATATATGAAGAAATAAGAGGTGTTTTGAAAGTATTCTTAGAAAATGTAATAAAGGATTCAATCATGTATACTGAGCACGCAAAGAGAAAAACAGTCACTGCTATGGATATTGTGTATTCATTGAAAAGACAAGGAAGAACATTATATGGTTTTGGAGGTTAACTTCAAAAAAAACTATTAATTCAAAAGAAGAGGTTTATTTATATCCTAATATATTATTTAAGTTTCTTGTTTTTAATACTTAAAATGTACTTTAAATAAAAGAAAAAAGATAATATAAAAAAGGATTATATGCAATATTTAAAAAAAAAGAAAATTGAATAAAACAATTAAAAAATATATATATATCTTATTACATCAATATTCCTAAAAACATAAATTTTTATGTTTATAAAAAAAAAAAAATATATATTTTCATAAAAACTAATTTCTTAGTTTTTATATATATAAAGCGAATGCATCAAAAGGGAAAAAAATTTCTTTGTTTTTTTTTTTTTTAATTTTTTACTTTTTCATACATAATATACATATACCTTTTTTTATGCAATAGTATGAATTTAAGGCTTCACTAGAAGCCATTAACACTTGCAAATTTATATGAAAAAATAATATAGTTTTCATTTTTTTAGAATTATATGGTTAATAACTTTATTTCATTTTTATTTTTTTTTAATTTGATAACAAAAAATAGTTAATTTTAAAATATAAAAATATAAATTAAAACAGTAAACATTATTGAAGTGGATCTGTTAAAAAATAGAAAACAACTAATTTGCAAAGGATAATTAAAAATAAGCATTCTTATTATATATTTACTTGCTATTTTAATTTTATTTGAAGTTTTTAATTTGAAATATATAAAAGAAAAAAATTTTAAATAAGATTTGGGTTCAGATAAGACAAAATTAGCTAAATTAAATAATTTGCTATATATGCCTGAAGAATTATTGCAGTATTATTGTTTTTCTTTTTTTTCATTTTATAAAAGAATTATTTGTTTTTCTTTATCTTTTTAGTATAAAAATTTAATACTTTTCATATGAATAGTTATCGAACATTATTCATTTACAACATTATAATCATATATGGGAAATAGACATCATTTTTCATTTCAAAAAGAAATACTTTAGTTTTTTTTTTGAAAATGTAATCATTATTAGTTTTAACTTCATTTTTTATAGAACAAAAAGAAATTTATTGCAAAAATTAATTACGATATCTAAATTTCATATTGTTTTAAAATTGATTAAATAAATAATAAAAAAAATTTTAATGAATTACTACTAAAAAATAAGGAAAAAAAAAAAAAAAAATTTCTCATAAAATTTAGTGTTAGTAAATGAATATATTATTAAAACTTCAATAAAAATATTTATTATTTTTAAATTTTTAAAAAATAACGTAAATAATAAAAAAAAAATAATATAGGATAAAAAAAAAGATATAATTGAAATATTATTGAAGAATTAGGTAAACAAGTTAAAGAATTTGATTCATTTATAAAAAGAAAACATACACATAAAACAAAATAAACAAAAAAAGATAATTTTCAAAAAAAAAAATAATAATAAAATGAGAAGGTAAAATGGAAAATGAAATATTTAAATATATAATATTCAAATACAAAAAAAAGAGGAAAAAAAATTATATAAATAAAATATTTAAAAACATGTTAAAAATTTTTATGTAGAAATTATTTTCTCTTTTATGCAATATAATTAATAAAACAAAAGGAATTATGTATAATATAAATTTACATTAGACTCCTAGGAATTTTTTAAAAATTCAAACCTAAGTATTAAATGTAAATTAGAAGAGAAAAGTAGAATAAAGAATGAAAGATATTAAATAAATATATATATATATATATATATTTTTTCTCTCTTTTTTCATTTTATTTTATACATGATAAATATTTGTTTAAACCTTTTAAATATAAATAAATAAAAATAAATAAATCTTAAATAATAAATTTAATTAATTTATATGTATTTTAAATATTATCAAATTAATTCATTATTTATTTTAAAAATACGGGATTTATTAATTTTGAAAAATTTATCTATGAAATATTTGAGGTACTAATGATAGATGTTAACTCATAAAACAATCAAATTATCTCATCATAATTGCCGTATATTTTATTTCAAATGTGAATGTATGTTTAAATTTGCCTAAATCGTTTATTATCATATAAATATTATCTCATTACTACATATGTAAAATTATTAAATGTATTAAAAAGTAAATTTCAATAAAACATATGATCTGATTTTTTTTTTTTTTTTTTTTTTTTTTTTTTTATGTACATATACATCTCATATATATATTATTTATTAGAAGTATATCTAAATCTAAATATATATAAAATAAATATTGATCATAAAAATTTATCTTAAATATCTTTTTTATTTTTTAATATGCCGATATCCTTTTTCTTTTTTTTTTTTTTGCACCTATTTCATACTCGTTAAATTCATTCGATATATGAAATGCAGAATTAGCTACATCATTTATATTATAATATTCATTAACGTATGGATTTAACGTTTGTTCAAATTTATTTGTAATATAATAATTAGAAGCGTTTATATATGCACAATTATTATCATAAGAATAAATATTCTGATTTTTCTGATTGACAAAAGAATCGCATGATTCAGTATTTGTAATTAAATTTTCATATATTAGGTTATTTTTGTTCGATATAGAATTACTATAAAACTTTAAAGCATTATAATATCCATTATTATTACATGAAAATGTAGATATATTATTTAAAGCATTTTTATTAGAATTATAATTAGCACTCATAACCATATTATTGTTATATATATTGCTAATAACATTGTTATTTATAGAATTATTGTTATTAAAAGTATATTGAATATTATTATTTATATTTAAGTAATTATCGTTATCTTCATTATTTATGTTGTTATATATCTCATATATGTTAGTATTTTCATATATTTCATTAATATTCTTTGTACTATTTCTGGCAAAAATTTTATTATTATCTTCATTATTTAATTCACATATATTATTCTGCATATTATTCATAATATAAAAACTTTTGTAATTTGATTTCGGAGGTGTGCAATATAAATTAATTTCATGATTTACATAAGGAATTTTATTTTCATTTTTACATATCACATCATTTAATGTACATTCATTTTTAAGGAAAAAATCATTTCTTATTTCTAGATTTTCATATGTTTGCATATTTTCTCCCTTGTACATTTCATTTTCTTTATTTAATAGTTTTTCTTTGTTTTTAATATTTTTTTTGTATCCTTCACTTTTTCTAGTTAGTGTATGAAATTCTCTATTATTTAAAATTTCATTTTTGTTGTGAATAACATTATTATATAGAATTAATTCATCGAATTTATTATTAGAAGAAAGAATTCTATTTTTTTTTGTTTCTATTAAATTTTCAAATAATTCCGTAAACTTATTATAGTTATTTCCTATAATATTAGTCATTGAATTCATGTTGATACAACTTTCTTTTTGTTTTTCTTCTTTTTCCTTTTTTATATATTTTTTTAGTGAGACAATGTCAAGAGAATTATTTAAAAATTCTTCATAATGAAATGTCTCATTGCTAATATTATTATTTTTATTTGACATATATATAGGATTATTCATAATAAAACTCTCATCCCTAAACTTATTTCTATATAATAAATAGTCCCCCCAACTAAGTCCCTTATATAGATCATTATTATTATAAATATATTCTTGGTTTAATAAAGCACTATTATTATTAAGTGATGCACAATATATTAAATTATTATACATAGTATTAATATTTTTTTTTTCTCGAATATAACAGTGTATATCATTATAGTATGAATTAACAAATTTTGTATTATCTACATTATAATAATTATTATAATACTCACTGTAATATTCCTTATTACATGGATAAATAAAATGATTATCTTTTTCATTTGAAATTTTTGCATCATTAATATTTTTTATATTATCATATATTTGATTGCAATTATATTTTATTTTTTTATTGATACATAAATAAGGGTTATTTTGATTTTCATGTGAAACATTGGTAAAATTTTTTTTTAAAATATTGAAATATTTTAACCAGGGATGATTTGATGCTATATCGGAATTTGGCATTCTTTTATTTGGATCAAATTGCAAGAATTTTTCACACAAATCTTTTGCCAATGGATAGTTATTAAATGATAATAGATTAAAATTGATTCCTTTTTTCTCTTTTTTTAATAATATTTCTTTTGTATTTTTATAATTAATCATTAAACACATAGGTAGCGGTGTAATTCCTGTCATCAAAATATAAAAAATTATTCCAATAGACCACATATCAGATAAAATAGAGTAGCTATATCCTTTTATAATTTCTGGTGCAATATATCCATAAGTACCAACTAATTTTATATGTTTTCTATTTATTGATGTTTTACTATTTTTCTTACACATTATTTTATCTATTTGCTTATTATGTTTTTCATCCACTTTTTCACTTAATTGCTCATTTATTCTTATGTTTGTTCTATCATTCATCATTTTATATTCTTTTTCACTAATTTTCTCATCTTTTTTCATTTCATTGAATTCTTTTGCATAAAACTGTTTTGTGCTTTTAACTTCCTCCGCTTGCTTATATATTTCTGTACAATCAGTGATTAAATTTTTAGTTGAACTGAATACACTATTTCTTATAATATCATTTATACATGAATATACATATTTATTTTCTTCATTATTTCTATTTGAATAATTGTTATTAATAAAATGACATGTATCATAATCTATAAGAACCAATTCATAATTGTATTCATAGTTTCTATCTTTTCTTTTTTTATTTCTAAACATTAAATTTTCTGGTTTAATATCTCTATGAATAACATTATTAAAATGTAAATAATTAGCCGCTTGCAAAATTTGACTAATTATATATTTACAAATGCTTTCTTTAACTTGCTTTTTGTATACTAAAAAACTAAAGAGCTCTTTTCCATATAACTTTTCCATTATTATATAAAAATTTTTTTCATCATCATATATATCAAAAATTTTCATTAAATTTTTGTGTTCCTTTAAAGAAATAATATATTCAATCATTTCTTCCCAAGATTCCCCAAATGCACTTAACACTTTTTTTTTGTTAATAATTTTTATAATTTTTTCGCAATTATCCTTTTTATCTATTGCATTTAATAAAACAGCTCTATCAAAAGGTAAATCCATTTCTTTTAATGATTTGTTAGTAATTCTAACATAATGTTCATATAGATTAAATGATTTTGTTGAATTATTTTTTTTGATAAATATTTTGTTAGACAAACATATATCTTTCTCTTCGTTCGTATTGTTAATATTTTTTTTTTTTTTTTTTTCTTCAAGTTTAAAATTATTTTTTATTTCTTCCTTCTCACGTTCTTTGTTATTTTTATCTAATTTTTTTTGTTCATTTAAATTTTTACTTTTATTATAAGTAGTATTACTATTATCATTTACTATTTTTGGCACATCTTTTTCGTAGCAATTATCACCTTCTATATTTTTTCTAATAACATCTTCTACCTCTTTATTTTTAGTTTTTACATTTTTATTCTTTTCTCTTAAATTAAATACATGTAAAAAATTATTTTTGTAGTTTTTTAATAAAAATTCTTCACAAATAGGCAAAAAATTCTTAATGATGAAATAATCTTCTATTTTTTCATTTTTTAGTTTTATAATTTTTTTTCTATTTTTATTTTGATACAATAAATTAGAACCAAAATTATTCAAATTTTGAATAGTTAAATCATTAATTCTTCTTTTTTTCTTCTTCTCAAATATTTCATCTTGAAATCTATGATATATCATTTTTTTTTTTTCTTTTTTACTTTATTTTATTTTTTCTTTTTTAATTTTTCTTATCTTAAAAATCTCAAAGAGTAAAAAAAAAATTTTTTAAAATAATAAAGCAATTAAATTATTAATACTTATTTAAATAATACGTGCATATGTCTATATATGTATAGATACATTTATTTACTCTATATTTTGTAAAAAATTCATTATTACATAGTGTATTTTTTTTAATTAATCAAAATATTCAATATATAGAAGTAGATAAAAATATGTGTACACATACATATATAATTTCTTTTTTTTTTTTTTTTTTTTTTTAGTGCATATTTTTAATATGCTAAAATAAGCTTCTTTATTAATGCTATTAATTAATTATGAAAAATAAAAATGAAAAAATATATTTTCTAAGTTAGGCAAAGCAAATGTACATATTTTAATTATTTATATTAATAATGATTTTATACATTATTTGATTCGTATTTACAAAATTGAAATTTTTATAAATAAAATAAAAATTAAAACTACTATATCTCTTTATGTATAATAATTTTTTACTCTTAAAATAATACTACAGTCCTTTTTAATATAATAAAAAATAAAAAAACTTTTACATATAAAACATTTATTTTACATAGAAATATTTTATTATAAGTTTGTCTAATTTTATATTTTTTTTTAATAGAAATTTTGAAAGTATTCCTATAAAAAAGTAAATATAAAGCATAACAAAACAGTATAAATTAAAGAATACATAATTACAATATATATACTAAATATATAACATATATATATATATATTATGTTTTGTGAAAATAGACAACAATAAATTAAGAAAAAGAGAAAATTTTTTAACGTATTTAATCAAATTAATTATTAATAAAATAATATAAAATGAACATTTTTGCGATTTTTTTTTTTTTTTTTTGTTTATGTATAATTATACCTAGAAGTAAATTCATTAGAATAAATTTAAATTAATAATTATATTAAAACAAAAAAATTAATATTTTTAATACATTTTAATATAAAAAAATAATATCTTTTATTTGAAATATATAAAAGTAATTAAACTTTTTTTTCTTATTCTAATAAATAATTAATATTACCAAAAATAAAAATAAAGGTTAAATGATTTTTTACATGTAATTATTTCATTTTAATAAAAATTTCAGAATAACAAAATGACATCAATAATACAAAAACAAAAAAAAAAAAAAAAAGCATTTAAAAGTAAATGAAAAAAATTATTAAAAATAAATATTACTTCTGCACATTATATAAATAGAAATATGATATACACATAAAAAAAAAAAAAAAAAAAAAAGAAATGGCATATTATTATTTATAAATCATCGTAAAAAAATATATACGTATATGTATATTTGTGGTTAATATGCATCCTAAAATGAAGAATTGTTATACATTTACAAAAATGTATTTTTTTTTTTTCAATATAAAAACTTCTATATTTTTAAGAGGAAAATAAAACATTCATCTATGGAAAAATATTATTTTTGTTTTACATAATTAACCACTACATTAAAAAAAAAAAAATGTATTGAATATATATTACCTTTTTTTTTCTACATATTCATGAATTATTATATTAAAACGTTCATATAATTTGTTAGAAAAAGAAAAATAATTTTTTTCTTATATTAAAAAAACAATATTTCAAAAAAAAATACATATATGCATATAAATAAATGCACGATTATGTTAATATAACAGGAATATTATATATGTTGTTAATTTTACACAAAAAAAAACAAAAAAAAAAATTTAAATATTTACAACATATCTACAAAATAGAAAATATAAAATCAACATAAATTTTTATATTCATATTTGCACACATAAAATGCTTATTTTTAATTTTAAAATAAAGAAATAAGTATAAATATTATATATTACTAATTTAAAAAAATATATATTCAATACTTATAAAAGTTATAATAATTATATATTTAAGATTTATATTGTAGTAACAACCAAAAAAAAACAATATAATAGAAAAAAAAAAAAAAAATAGACAAGAAAAAAGAATTATGTTGCACCTGTTTTCATTAATTTTTCTTTTAATTTCTAAATGTAAACTTTTAATTTTCTTTTAGAAGCATTTAAAATAATTTTAATTTTTTTTTTAGGTAGGTGCAAAGGTTAAACTTCTATTTTTCCAATACTGCACTTAAAAAATTTTCAATGTAAATTTTTGTAATTTATATAATAAAAAGACAAAAATGAAAATTATTTATATGATATGTAAATAAATTAAATAATAGAAAAAATTAAAATGTAATAGAGAGTTAATAGCGACATGTTTTTTGATCATTACAACCAAATATATAAATTTCTTTTATATAAAATTAAAATTTTTTTGAAAAAGAAAAAATAATGAATAAATGAAAAAAAGTATATATATATAAAACAAAGAACTAAATGAAAAATCAAATCATTTGAATTTTTAATATCTATATAAAAATTATATTATTAATAGGTTATATATAATAGCTGAACGTCAATTATAAACAAAAAAAAAGACAACATTAAAATAAGGAATAAATAATAGTCAATATTAAAAATAAAAAATATTATATATATATATATATATAATACATATATATTGGATGATGGAAAAAAAAGGAGAGAAATATGAAGTAATGCAAAAAAAAAAAAAAAGATTAAAATTTTAAATAAATTAAAATAAGTTTTAAAATAATAAATTCTTGTAAATAATCATTTTTTTTTTTTTTTTTTTATAACATAAAAAGAATTAAAAATAATATTAACACATATGATGTGTTACAAAAAAAAAATCTAATATATTTATTATGTTTTGTATAAATTTCATATTTATTTTTCTTTAATGATGAAAATAATAACTATAAAAAAGAGTCATATAAAAAACATATTTTTATTTCACATATATAAAATATAGACTAAAAAAAATAAAAAGAAAATTACTCCAAATTTAAATTAGTTATTTTTAAAAAATACACCCCATAAAAAAAAAAAAAAAAAAAAAAAAAAAAAAAAAATAAAAAAAAATATTTATTTTAAAAAAAAAATTTTATTTAAA